AAGAGGATGGCCGTTGTACTGTTTCCGATATAATTCGTTTGACTGACATAGTAACATACCAACCATTTATTTGAATGTTAACGATTCTTCGTGTACAATGGATCCCATTTGCTAAAATATCAGCAACAAGCCAAAGGTTTGAATGGTGCTAAAATATTTTAAAATGTGGCCATTTATCTGTGTATATAAAAACTTTCTGAGTACCAAAAGAGCATAAACGATAATCAATGGCTAAATGGGGAAAAAATAAGGCCAGTGCTTGGTAAATGTATAAAACTCCAGAGGTCAACTTTGTGTGATATCTTTTTCCAATTCTGCAAGAAAGGGGAAGTTATAAATTTTAAAGCAAAACAAAAAAAAAACAAAAAAACAAAAAAAAAACAAAAACAAAAACAAAAACAAAAAAAAGCAAAATAAAACCAAAAATTAATTAATTAATTAATTAATAAGAAAAATAAAGAAAAACATCAAGGTTTATCACAGCAAATAATTCATCCCAAAGAAGTAACACTTTACATGGCGTTTGTGAAACAAGCAAAGTGATTGAAAGACAAATTGACCACCAGACCATTCGCCAGTTTCTGTGACATTTTTTTGATTCCATTGCTGAATAAAACACTCTCTGGAGTAAAAGTTAACGTCAGGTAAACACATACGTAACATCAAACACTGTCAGTTTCAATAGTCTTCATTTTCAGTCAATGTTGCAAAGTAAATGGAATACATGGTCAGTGTCTTAAGACTTAAGTTGCATTTCGGCTTGGGCCACAAAGACAGAAATGTCCTTCTTCACCCTCGCCAAATTTTACATAGTTGATATTTTAAAGATTCTGGCCATATGTTCGCTATATATATTTTGCAATGGGTTATCTAGGCTGTTGCTGATCCACAGATGATCCGCCTTAACACTCTATTTCCAATGATAGACATGTTGTATAACGTTCTCTTTCGATAAAATATTTCATCTTTCCAGGTCGCATATAACTCCCTAATTTCTATGGTAAATCTTGTGTTCTCCTCACGGTATCATCGCCCAGTGTGACCAGTAACGCAACAACTTTTCTATTGGATTCTGTAACATCGAAAAGTGAGGTTGATATTTTTATCAAGAAGTTTGTTTTAAAAGTTGACTAGATTAAAGTAGTTAAAGAGAGCAGTTCGAAAAATATATTTCAGCACAATACACGCATAATTTATATTCAGTACGGAGTTCTCAGAAACAGAGAGAATATATCAATTCATTAGGGAGTCATCGAAAATTGATTCAGTATCACCAATTAGCAGGGCGTCATCAGAAATTACTCAATATAGTAAGTCAGTAGGGAGTATCAGAAATAACTCAATATAGTGAGTCAGTAGGGACTATCAGAAACTACTCAATATAGTGAGTCAGTAGAGAGTATCAGAAAGGACTCAATAAAGTGAGTCAGTAGAGAGTATCAGAAAGGAATCAGTATATTAAGTCAGTAGGGAATATAAGAAACTACTCAATATAGTGAGTCAGTAGGGAGTATCAGAAAGTACTCAATATAGTGAGTCAGTAGGGAGTATCAGAAATTACTCAATATAGTCAGTAGGGAGTATCAGAAAGTACTCAATATAGTGAGTCAGTAGGGAGTATCAGAAATTACTCAATATAGTTAGTAGGGAGTATTAGAAAGTATTCAATATAGTGAGTTAGTAGGGAGTATCAGAAATTACTCAATATAGTGAGTTAGTAGAGATTATCAGAAAGGACTCAATATAGTGAGTCAGTAGGGATCAAATGTTGTTTAAGACCAAATTTGAAGTAATTAATTTGATTAATAAATAGAGCCTATACTCATTATAGAAATCTGTCTAACGTGCAATGGCGTCATGGCCAGTCTGTTTTCAACAATACAATGTGGGTTGGTTAAACATTTTCCTGATCCAAGTGATAACATATCGGTATGATGACAACAGATTAAACAAATACATACATATAGGGAAAATATTATAATGATGTCAAACATAATGAATAATGATATTTTCAAAACAAGACATAGACAAGGCATTTTCTTTCAGTGATAAGCAAAACTTTAAAATCTTTTTCAATGTGTGGGTTGATGTAAAATGTGTTTGGTTCTTAAACTAGATTTGTATCTGTTCTGTACAAGCCTTATATACCGCATTCTTAATGAGTGATAAACAAAATTTTTTAAAAAGATTAAAGATAAATAACGCGGTGTTTTGAAACACTTCCTTGTAGAATCAGTAGTGTAGGATACCCTTATGGCCATGGACGTTTTTGTAGTCCTACTGACTGTCTGCCTTAGTGGTGTGGTCTGTTTAACCTTGGATGACCTTTACCCATACGATATAACATCAGATGACCAACTACTATATCGAAATGATGACGGCAGTTCTTCCGAAATCCTGTTTTCGTTTCCGTTTTACAACAACAGTCGGTCTTCAGCATTCGTAAGTACACCAGTATATATGCTGACTATCGGTTTTCCTCCATTCGTAGAAAAGCAAATATCAGAATGATTTACAGATCATTCCAATACGGCCGTTAGTACGCCGTAGTTGGCATTCAATAATAGGCGATGCTTGAACATGAATTGACACCGAATTCCGACAACTGTTGTCCGATAGCACCGTCAACACTTAACTCAAAAAAGATACTTGAATACGAGTTTTAATGGAATTATGTTGTTCCTGCACCTCCCCATCTAGATTTTTGTCATCAGATGTCTTAAACGCTTAAGAAAAGATTCTCAGCAGGGAACCTTTAGTTGAATCCCAGTTCCTAGTTCCGTTTATGAAAAAAAAGAAACTTGGAACCAGATCCTGGTTCCGTATAAAAAAGTCGAGTTCACATGGTCTTATCTTAATTCGGGACAGGAATCGAACCCACAACCTTTCACACAAAAATTAAGACTAACTTCCTTAAACGGAACCGGGAACCATATCCCAGTTCCGTTTAACATTAAAGGGAACAGAAATTCGAGTTTGAGTTCTCTTTATAACGACTATTGGAATCATAATTTTTATCTCAAAGGTTGTAGATTTGATTCCTGTACCGAATTAAAATGATAGCATTCATATTGGACCTCTCGTTTTGTCAACATATAAGTGTTTCTTAAACGGAACTAGGATCTGGTTCCCAGTTCCGTTTAAGACAAAACGGAACTTGAGTTTGAGTGCTAGTTCCGTAGAAGACCTATTCCTTTACAAAAGCTATGGTAGTCTTAATTTCTATCTGAAAGGTTGTACGTTCGATATCTGTACCGAATTAAAATGATATCCTGCGAATTGAACCTTTCGTTTTGTCAACATATACGTTTTTCTGAAATGAAACTAGGATCTGGTCCCCACATGTTTTTCTTAAATGGCACTAGGATATGGTTTCCAGATGTTTTCCTTAAACGGAATAAGAATATGGTTTCTAGATGTTTTGTTTTTCTGAAATGAAACTAGGATCTGGTCCCCACATGTTTTTCTTAAATGGCACTAGGATATGGTTTCCAGATGTTTTCCTTAAACGGAATAAGAATATGGTTTCTAGATGGTTTTTTTTCCTGAAATGAAACTAGGATCTGGTCCCCACATGTTTAACTTAAATGGCACTAGGATATGGTTTCCAGATGTTTTCCTTCAACGGAATAAGAATATGGTTTCTAGATGGGTTTTTTTTCTGAAATGAAACTAGGATCTTGTCCCCACATGTTTTTCTTAAATGGCACTAGGATATGGTTTCCAGATGTTTTCCTTCAACGGAATAAGAATATGGTTTCTAGATGTTTTGTTTTTTCTGAAATGAAACTAGGATCTTGTCCCCACATGTTTTTCTTAAATGGCACTAGGATATGGTTTCCAGATGTTTTCCTTCAACGGAATAAGAATCTGGTTTCTAGATGTTTTGTTTTTCTGAAATGAAACTAGGATCTGGTCCCCACATGTTTTTCTTAAATGGCACTAGGATATGGTTTCCAGATGTTTCCCTTTGAACGGAATAAGAATCTGGTTTCTAGATTTTTTTTTCTGAAGTGAAACTAGGATCTGGTCCCCACATGTTTTTCTTAAATGACACTAGGATATGGTTTCTAGATGTTTCCCTTTGAACGGAATAAGAATCTGGTTTCTAGATTTTTTTTTTCTGAAATGAAACTAGGATCTGGTCCCCACATGTTTTTCTTAAATGACACTAGGATATGGTTTCTAGATGTTTCCCTTTGAACGGAATAAGAATCTGGTTTCTAGATTTTTTTTCTGAAATGAAACTAGGATCTGGTCCCCACATGTTTTTTTAAATGGCACTAGGATCTGGTTTCTAGATGTTTTTCCTTAAACGGAATAAGAATCTTGTTTCCAGAAGTTTTCCTTAAACGTAATAAGGGTCTGGTTTCCAGAGGTTTTTCTTTAAACGGAATAAGGATCTGGTTCTCAGATGTTTTCCTTGAACGGAATAAGAATCTGGTTCCCAGATGTTTTTCCTTGAACGGAATAAGAATCTCATTCCCAACATCCGTATGACGCAGTTTAGTTCACTATTTGACACTCTTGTATCTTTATTTTGTTTGCCTTTTACTTCAAATGTCTTGTACAATTTGCAAATGGTGAGACAGGTGGAGAGCGTATTGCACTGGCCTCTCACAAATATGATGAAGCGAATTACGCAGTGTAATTTCAACTAAGTGATCACGTGGGTCTTATCCGGGTTCTCAGATTTCTTTATATGGGAATCTAATGCGTAGTTTAACACAAAGGTGTGCTTTTTTGTGATAATCTATCGGTATTAAAACACTGAAAAAGATAGACACATAAAGGAAATTTTATTATGATGCATCCGCGATGTGTTGTTAGACGTCAATATCAAATGTCGTGCTTTTGTTCCTTTATTGCATTAGTACGTGTTCTATACAAGCCATATACACCGCATTCTTTATGAATGATAAAAAAAGATAAAAGATAGATAACGCGGTGTTTTAAAACACTTCCTTGTAGAATCAGTAGTGTAGGATACCCTCATGGCCATGGACGTTTTTGTAGTCCTGCTGACTGTCTGCCTTAGTGGTGTGGTCAGTTTAACCTTGGATGACCTTTACCCTTACAATGTAACATCAGATGACCAACTACTACATCGAAATGATGACGGCAGTTCTTCCGAAATCCTGTTTTCGTTTCCGTTTTACAACAACAGTCGGTCTTCAGCATTCGTAAGTACACTAGTATATATGCTGACTATCGGTTTTCCTCCATTCATAGAAAAGCAAATATCAGAATGATTTACAGATCCTTCAAATACGGCCGTTAGTACGATAGACCCGTCAACACTGAACTCAAAAAAAAAAAAACTTGAATAGCAACTGTACTAGTTCCGTATAAAAAAAGCCGAGTGCACATGGCCTTATCTTAATTTGGGACAGGAATCGAACCCACAACCTTTCACACAGAAATTAAGACTTACCACCTGAAACGGAACTGGGATTCAGATCCCAGTCCCATTTAACAATAAACGGTATGAGACCGATTCTCTTTAATAACGGCATATAGAGGCTGTAGGTTTGATTCCTGTACCGAATTAAGATTATAGCATGCGAATTAGCCTTTCGTTTTGTCAACATATACATATACGCTTTTCTTAAACGGAATTAGGATCTGGCTCCCAGTTCCGTTTAAGGTAGCCGTACTGACTGTCTGCCTCACATGCGTGCTCAGTTTAACCTTTGATGACCTTTACCCATTCAATGTAACATCACATGATCAACAAAACTTCAGAACACGCAGTCTAATTTTAACTACGTGATCACGTGGGTCTTATCCGGGTACTCAGATTTAATCATATAGGAATCCAGTGCGCAATTTAACACAGCGAAGTGCTTGTTTATGACTACCTACATTAAACTGTTCTCTCGAAAAAGTGTTAAATATTTTCTACATTCAATCTTGAAATAAGAATATGCTTCAACTTAAAGAGTGTCGCCAAATCACCGGATTTCGTCAGGTCAAACTGATACTGGACATATCAGGATATGCTTCACTCGTTAAAATGCTAAGATCACGTGATATAATTATTCGGTTTGTTTTGAATTTAAGTTATGATAGCTATTCAGTAAAATCGAATGTAAGGTTTTTACCCTTGACAAGCTTCTGGCCTGTCTTACCTTTCAAATAGTTCGTAAATGGTGCATTTTGCCCCATTGCAGGGCTTTAAAAGGCAACTAAAATTGGGGGATTTTCTTTACTTTTCTAACCAAAAATTTTCTTTCTAATGTCTCTCTTAACACTGCCCCGGTATTGGCCATTGTTCGCCCTTGTGAGGAAAGGTTTAGGTTCTGTCCCCTAGCCGAGACCTTCAAATGGTAGTTACTACTACTCCCTGCTTTATGTTCAGCATTTTGGTTGTTAGTAGCATGTTACCGGCCAGGGTGTCCTGCTTGGTGCCTTCAGCAGTACACATCAGTGTGGTAACTTCAGTTCCATACTATTACCAAAACATCGCTGCCTCTTACAAACAGTCGACGCATACGCTTACCTCGCTTCATACAGAGAGACTATTTAAATAGCCATGCTGTTGATAGGACGTTAAACGATACATAATCAAAACGAACTAAGATCCCTGTTTTGTATGGTATGGTCAGATGTAGAGACTGGCGACTCTGTTTGAGACGTTTCTTTTGATTGGTGCTTGATGCTTATACCTAAAAAGGAAGTCCACAAATTGAAGTGTCAATTTTGTTAATGTGTAATTGAGAGAAAGCTGTGTGAAACATATAGGTGTTGTGATAAATTCTCCAGGAAAAAAACACCGATGCGGACATTTACTGTAATATACTGCCACTGCAAGTTTGCTTCGAACGAAATATTCCTACAAACTTATTTGGCCGTTGAAAATTGACTGTTTAAGATTGACTTTTGGAGATCGGCCGTTGAAGATCGACCGAAGCTTGACTGTTTATGATTGACCAATGAAGATTGACCATTAAAGATTGACCGTTGAAGTTTGACCTTTAAGATTGACCCTTTAAGATTGACGGTTAGAGATTGAATGATCGTTGAAGATTGGCCGTTAAAGATTGACTGTTTAATATTGACTGTTTAATATTGACTGTTTAATACCGGCCGTTGAAAACTAACTGTTAAGGATTGACCTTTGGAATCTGACTGTTTAAAATTGACCGTTAAAATTGACTGTTTAAGACTGACCGCTTAGGATTTACCTCGGAAGATTTCATTCTGAACGGAATCGAGATTTATTTGGCTTTTCAAAGTTTCATGATTTATGTAAACTAATGTGAATAAAAAACAAATATATTTAATTGTTGTTTTGCAGGTGAACACTAATGGTGATATAACATTTGGTAATTCGTTAAGTCAGTATCGTCCATCTGCTTTCCCACTGCCTGGTAACTACGTGATGGTTGCCGTCTTCTGGACTGATATTATTACATATACCGTCGGAGAAATCTGGTACAAACTAAGTTCAAACCAAGATCTCCTGGACCGAGCAACATCGGACGTACGATCAGCATTTACAGATCAAACTGATTTTAGTTCGTCCTTGGTATTTGTTGTTACCTGGAATGAAGTACCGTATTACGGAGCGTCAGGAGATAACCTACTCCTGGTATGTATTTCATATGGTGTAATTATTCCACTGGTATAAACATATTCTGTTTCCACTTATTTTTATTTCTTTTTCCCCATTTCAAGCTATACTGCGATATGTACATGACATTTTTTGTTTTTGTAATGCTTGATTTGCAGTATCTCGTGCTATATTCTATAGTACATAGTTTTTCAAATACACAATTACTTCGATCGAAATTATCAATTTATATCGGAGGTTCACGTGAAACGCAGGTACAGATGAATATTAAAGATAAAGGTAAAGATAATATCACCATGTATTTAAGAATTAAAAGTTTATTTTGTTTATTTCATGATCTGATAAAGCCATTGAAAGGAAAGGAAAAATTATTAACTCGAATGTGTATACAAGGAATAATACATAATGTCACTGTATAATTTACATTATTTACAACGTCACTGTATAATATACATTATTCGTAATGTCGTTAGTAATACTATACAAGCTTGTAATTCATTATGTCACTGTATACTGTACAGACTAGTAATTCATTATGTCACTGTATACTGTACAGACTAGTAATTCATTATGTCACTGTATACTGTACAGACTAGTAATTCATTATGTCACTGTATACTGTACAGACTAGTAATCCATAATGTCACTGTATACTGTACAGACTAGTAATTCATTATGTCACTGTATACTGTACAGACTTGTAATTCATTATGTCACTGTATACTGTACAGACTAGTAATTCATTATGTCACTGTATACTGTACAGACTAGTAATTCATTATGTCACTGTATACTGTACAGACTAGTAATTCATTATGTCACTGTATACTGTACAGACTAGTAATTCATTATGTCACTGTATACTGTACAGACTTGTAATTCATTATGTCACTGTATACTGTACAGACTTGTAATTCATTATGTCACTGTATACTGTATAGACCTGTAATTCATTATGTCACTGTATACTGTACAGACTAGTAATTCATTATGTCACTGTATACTGTACAGACTAGTAATTCATGATGTCACTGTATACTGTACAGACTAGTAATTCATTATGTCACTGTATACTGTACAGACTAGTAATTCATTATGTCACTGTATACTGTACAGACTAGTAATTCATTATGTCACTGTATACTGTACATGTAATTCATTATGTCACTGTATACTGTACAGACCTGTAATTCATTATGTCACTGTATACTGTACAGACTAGTAATTCATTATGTCACTGTATACTGTACAGACTAGTAATTCATTATGTCACTGTATACTGTATATACCTGTAATTCATTATGTCACTGTATACTGTACAGACATGTAATTCATTATGTCATTGTATACTGTACAGACCTGTAATTCATTATGTCATTGTATACTGTACAGACTAGTAATTCATTATGTCACTGTATACTGTACAGACTAGTAATTCATGATGTCACTGTATACTGTACAGACTTAATTCATTGTCATGTCACAGACTGTAATTCATTATGTCACTGTATACTGTACAGACTAGTAATTCATTATGTCACTGTATACTGTACAGACTTAATTCATTATGTCACTGTATACTGTACAGACTAGTAATTCATTATGTCACTGTATACTGTACAGACCTGTAATTCATTATGTCAGGCTGTCATTGTATACTGTACAGACTAGTAATTCATTATGTCACTGTATACTGTACAGACTAGTAATTCATTGTCACTGTATACTGTACAGACCTGTAATTCATTATGTCACTGTATACTGTACAGACCTGTAATTCATTATGTCACTGTATACTGTACAGACCTGTAATTCATTATGTCACTGTATACTGTACAGACCTGTAATTCATTATGTAATTCATTAATTCATTATGTCACTGTATACTGTACAGACTTGTAATTCATTATGTCACTGTATACTGTACAGAATTCATTATGTCACTGTAATTCATTATGTCACTGTATACTGTACAGACTTGTAATTCATTATGTCACTAATTCATTAATTCATTATGTCACTGTATACTGTACAGACTAGTAATTCATTATGTCACTGTATACTGTACAGACTAGTAATTCATTATGTCACTGTATACTGTACAGACTAGTAATTCATTATGTCACTGTATACTGTACAGACTAGTAATTCATTATGTCACTGTATACTGTACAGACTAGTAATTCATTATGTCACTGTATACTGTTCAGACCTGTAATTCATTATGTCACTGTATAGTGTACAGACTAGTAATTCATTGTCACTGTATACTGTACAGACCTGTAATTCATTATGTCACTGTATACTGTACAGACCTGTAATTCATTATGTCACTGTATACTGTACAGACCTGTAATTCATTATGTCACTGTATACTGTATAGACTAGTAATTCATTATGTCACTGTATACTGTACAGACCTGTAATTCATTATGTCACTGTATACTGTACAGACTAGTAATTCATTATGTCACTGTATACTGTACAGACTAGTAATTCATTATGTCACTGTATACTGTACAGACTAGTAATTCATTATGTCACTGTATACTGTACAGACTAGTAATTCATTATGTCACTGTATACTGTATAGACTTGTAATTCATTATGTCACTGTATACTGTAAGACTTAATTCATTATGTCACTGTATACTGTACAGACTAGTAATTCATTATGTCACTGTATACTGTACAGACTAGTAATTCATTATGTCACTGTATACTGTACAGACTTGTAATTCATTATGTCACTGTATACTGTACAGACTAGTAATTCATTATGTCACTGTATACTGTACAGACTAGTAATTCATTATGTCACTGTATACTGTACAGACTAGTAATTCATTATGTCACTGTATACTGTACAGACTAGTAATTCATTATGTCATTGTATACTGTACAGACCTGTAATTCATTATGTCACTGTATACTGTACAGACTTGTAATTCATTATGTCACTGTATACTACTGTAATTCATTATGTCACTGTATACTGTAATTAATTCATTATGTCACTGTATACTGTACAGACTAGTAATTCATTATGTCACTGTATACTGTACAGACTAGTAATTCATGATGTCACTGTATACTGTACAGACTAGTAATTCATTATGTCACTGTATACTGTACAGACTAGTAATTCATGATGTCACTGTATACTGTACAGACTAGTAATTCATTATGTCACTGTATACTGTACAGACCTGTAATTCATTATGTCACTGTATACTGTACAGACCTGTAATTCATTATGTCACTGTATACTGTACAGACTAGTAATTCATTATGTCACTGTATACTGTACAGACTAGTAATTCATTATGTCACTGTATACTGTATATACCTGTAATTCATTATGTCACTGTATACTGTACAGACATGTAATTCATTATGTCATTGTATACTGTACAGACCTGTAATTCATTATGTCATTGTATACTGTACAGACTAGTAATTCATTATGTCACTGTATACTGTACAGACTAGTAATTCATGATGTCACTGTATACTGTACAGACTAGTAATTCATTATGTCACTGTATACTGTACAGACTAGTAATTCATTATGTCACTGTATACTGTACAGACTTGTAATTCATTATGTCACTGTATACTGTACAGACTAGTAATTCATTATGTCACTGTATACTGTACAGACCTGTAATTCATTGTGTCACTGTATACTGTCCAGGCTAGTAATTCATTATGTCATTGTATACTGTACAGACTAGTAATTCATTATGTCACTGTATACTGTACAGACTAGTAATTCATTGTCACTGTATACTGTACAGACCTGTAATTCATTATGTCACTGTATACTGTACAGACCTGTAATTCATTATGTCACTGTATACTGTACAGACCTGTAATTCATTATGTCACTGTATACTGTACAGACTAGTAATTCATTATGTCACTGTATACTGTACAGACCTGTAATTCATTATGTCACTGTATACTGTACAGACTTGTAATTCATTATGTCACTGTATACTGTACAGACCTGTAATTCATTATGTCACTGTATACTGTTCAGACCTGTAATTCATTATGTCACTGTATACTGTACAGACTTGTAATTCATTATGTCACTGTATACTGTACAGACCTGTAATTCATTATGTCACTGTATACTGTACAGACTAGTAATTCATTATGTCACTGTATACTGTACAGACTAGTAATTCATTATGTCACTGTATACTGTACAGACTAGTAATTCATTATGTCACTGTATACTGTACAGACTAGTAATTCATTGTCACTGTATACTGTACAGACTAGTAATTCATTATGTCACTGTATACTGTTCAGACCTGTAATTCATTATGTCACTGTATAGTGTACAGACTAGTAATTCATTGTCACTGTATACTGTACAGACCTGTAATTCATTATGTCACTGTATACTGTACAGACCTGTAATTCATTATGTCACTGTATACTGTACAGACCTGTAATTCATTATGTCACTGTATACTGTATAGACTAGTAATTCATTATGTCACTGTATACTGTACAGACCTGTAATTCATTATGTCACTGTATACTGTACAGACTAGTAATTCATTATGTCACTGTATACTGTACAGACTAGTAATCCATTATGTCACTGTATACTGTACAGACTAGTAATTCATTATGTCACTGTATACTGTACAGACTAGTAATTCATTATGTCACTGTATACTGTATAGACTTGTAATTCATTATGTCACTGTATACTGTATAGACTAGTAATTCATTATGTCACTGTATACTGTACAGACCTGTAATTCATTATGTCACTGTATACTGTACAGACCTGTAATTCATTATGTCACTGTATACTGTACAGACTTGACTTGTAATTTCATCTTGAATTTGTCATCTTTTTTTTTTACTTACAGAGAAACACTTTCCAAATTGTACTTACCACTGACGGCACTAAATCATTTGTGATGTTCCATTACTACAGACTAGACTGGGCGAATGGTGCTTTGGTAAGGCTGACTTATTTCACTTATTAGAACATTGTTGTATTGAATTTCAAAAATACAAATACTTTAAATAAAAGCAAAATGTTTGTTATATTATTTTTATCAATACAAACAATAAATGAATATCAGGAATTAAAACAAAATGATTCTTGCATCAAATTTAGTGGATACAACAGACAATAATTGAATATTATGAATGAAGACAAAATTATTGTTGTATCAAATTTTATAATTACTTTTAAATGCAATAATTTGTATATATATTTTAGATATAAAAGACCTTTGCTTTTAAAGGATACATTTTATTACTGTATAGGACATATGTAATTGCTTTATATGGTTTTAATAACTGTTTTTGGTTTTTCATGACGTTATTGGGTTTTTAATAACTGTACTTGGTTTTTCATGACGTTATTGGGTATTTAATAACTGTACTTGGTTTTTCATGACGTTATTGGGTATTTCATTATTTTGTTGTGTGTTCTATCGCTTTTTTATGTTTGCCTATATTTTTATAGAAACATATCCATTAAACAATTCACACACAGTGCGACACATCCTCCTGTACAGTGTCCGTTACGTTAAAATCATCATCAGCATTGTAATCGATTTATCATCATTATCATTGTTCAACACACACCAGCATACTCTTTCACACACACCATTGCACATACACATTCAATAATTTGACATGTTTTACATCAGCACTCTATATTCATAGACATAGATGAGAGAGAGAGGGGGAGAGAGAGAGAGAGAGAGAGAGAGAGAGAGAGAGAGAGAGAGAGAGAGAGATCCTGGACAAGAGCATATATATCTTACATATTAATAATTAGAATTGTATATCAGTTGTGTTGCATGTCTGATTCTCATTTGTGCTGATAAAGCTTTCTTTATTCAAGGAATATGGAATAAAAGTGCATCTAAAAGTATTTCAAACTTTGTAAAAAGTTCTGACAATTCCACATGATATGAACCATTGTTTCTTGTGTTAATTAACAAAGGGGACAGAGTGGGCTGGTGGATAACCCTATTTTATAAAAGTAAAAAATTGGTTGTCAAGATATGATAATCTATTCTATATTGAAACTACTGTAATATAGTATCTCTGAAAGGGGTCCATTAGATATCTATTCATTTGAAATTATGAAATTGGGCCATTTCTTCCCATTAGTTTCAACCATTCGAAATAATATATTTCTTTATCATAAGATGGTACAAATTTTTGATATTTTCATTATTTTTTTTTTAGAAAAAAATCATTGTTACCAAGTATTAGCGGATATTCGATTGTTTTTTTTTTTTTTCAAGATAGACCCCCATCTTTTTTTTTTTTTTTTTTCAGATAGTAGACCATGATATTTCAGAAAATTTGTGTTGACTTGATATATTTGGATAAATTCTTTAAAAGTATAGAATGTATGAGTATCAATGTCTTTAATTAAGTCATTTATTATAGTTAACTCTTTACTGTGCATTGTCTTGTAAAATACAGGCTTTCCCCAACAGTCAAATTTGTATTATACCATGACTAAGTTTTCTAAATAAACTTTTCCTGCATTTTCCTAACCCCATTCCAAAAATTAATCTTGTCCAAGCCAGGAAGACATTTTTCCAAAACTTGTTTTTACATTTTTTGACATACTTAATTGTATTTAATGTCATAATTGATTCGATATTCAAAGGTGGGTTGATGAAAATTATTTTTCTTTTTTTTTTTACTTTTTTTTTCATTAAGTTTTATGGTCGCCATAGTGATCTCATTGAGAAATACTCTATTTCTTTGTGTGATATGGAGCTGGACGTGTTTAATGAGCATTTGTTTGCGTGTTGGTCCGCTGTTGTATACATTGTTCTCATTTGAGGACGTGACATTACTTACTTGAATTGACTAAAGTCTACATCGTCGATGAAGCAGAAGACGCTTAATCTTCCGGAACACCTGGTCTTATTCTCCTTGTACTTTTTCAGGAGTCTCCATTTAAATATTTCTTTTGTTTATTTTTTGCCCTTTGTCCATCTGTATTTATTTATTTGCTTAATTACGCATTTTAATTGCTTCATCGGATATCTTATTGCTTCATTTTTGATTGGGTATTTTATGACCTTATTAGGCATTTGTAATGACTTTATTGGGAATACTATGGTTTTATATGGTACATTATTATTCTATTGGACGTTTTATAACTTTATCTGTTATTCCATTGCTGAATTGAATTTTTGTTTCATTTCTTTCCTTTTTTCTTTTGCTTAAATCGTATTCTATTGCTTTATTGTTTCGTTTTGGGGTTTTTTCCTCTTGTTTATTTTTTTTCTTTATTTGGCATTTTAATGACTTTAATGTTTATTCTGTTGCTTTGTTGTGTGTATATTTTGTTGCCTTTATTGAGTATTGTATTGCTTTGTTGAGTATTGTATGACTATATTGGATATCTTTATTGCTCTTTTTTGTTATTCTATTGCGTTATTGTGCATTTCTTTTTGTTAGTTGGCATTTTAATGACTGTCTTGGGTATTGTATATATTTATTGGGTATATTTTTATTGCTTTAGAGGGCATTTTATTTCTTTATTTTGTACTTTTTCATAGCTCCAGACTAGATAGGTGGAAAATAGTGTTGTATCAATACAATGATTTTGCTTTTAGGTTGGGTTTAACGCTGGGGATGGAGTCAACAGTTACACCGTTAATGGTTCCATGTCTGATGATATCGTCAACCTAGTTAACAGATCTAATACAGGTGTTCCTGGCAAGTTCCTCTTCCGCGTTGACGGAGTCGAAATACAACCGGCTGGTCAAAATATCACTAGTAGGTATCGCCACAAGATCTTCAAATGGGATATCTGTTGTAGAAAATCTGTAAAACGAGTTAATCGATGGAAGTGATTAAACAACAGATAGATATATTGTTCAATTTATGATAATTTATCATGATCCGTTACATCAATCTATCATTTTAATAGGTTAGTATTTTAACCTTTATCAGGAAAAAAACCGATGTAAAGTTAATCATTGATTGTTCATAAAGTCCTTGCTTTCTGGCTGAACTGTTGATAAAATGGCCGTTTAAAACCAATTTTGAATGTAATATGCAGAAATAAAGATGTTCATTTTGCGAATCCACTTTCATGATAATTTTAGAATCAGTCGTTCATATAAGACATTTAAGAACTTTATAGGGTCTTTCGCAGGATCAATATATGGGATGTATACTGTATCTGCAGTTTGGTATAATATTTCTAATTATTAGTAAATTGATGATGATGTGAAAATTTAATTACATTATTTACAATGATCTTATTACAGTTACTACAATATTTGTCTTTTAAAAAGTCTTAATTAGAAGGAAATGTACAATGTCGAATTTGTTTCGAGATGAACCAATTATATTGCAATATACTGTACATGAAATATGTCTCTATATAACAATATAACAATGACCTTATGTACTATTGTATATTATATCTAACCTGCAATAACCTATGCTTTGCAATACGCTACTTTGCATTTATGACCTAGTGATATTCACGTGATTTATCGTTATCGTTCATTTGTTTTTTTAAACATATATGTTAGTTTGATATTGACCCTGCATGTCATTTTATTCCCACCAAAATTTTCTCATTGGCTACTGATATAAGGTAGGTAGTCTATTTCTGTATTTCTGTCTATATTGACGACACTGTCACAACTACAAGGCGAACAGTAAGGTAGGTAGTCTTTTTCTGTATTTCTGCTCATATTGACGATATTTATAATGTATATCTATATGAAGATAGATAAAAAAAAACCTCAAACCATAACAACGCATTTTATTCTATATTTCGTAAAGCAATTATTACAACAATAAAATATCGATACAACTTTTAATCTATATTTAATTTCACAGTTATTTTTATGTTAATTGTGACGTCAGATAATTTTACTGTTAATGAAATATGTTTATTACACATCTTCTCTGTTAAAAAGTTTGTTTCCGGTTAAGTGGGAATCTGGATTCAAAATTTCCTGATGGTAAGATATACGTTCATATATATTACACGTGACCAACGATAAAATATTGAACATGTCACAATAAGGCGCCATCAAGGATGTCCATATGAAAGAAATAACCAAGAATTTTTTTACATTATGACATATTTGGGAATAAGATACACTATACATATTAACGGGGCTTGGTCCCATTCCATGAGATTTAATCCTTGTAATAAATTGTAATATATTTTGATGAATGATAATTGAATATCATAATTTAACCAATCGTTGGCATATTTTGAATGTTGGTATAACATCACGAAAAATATTGAACTTAGTAAAGAAAACCAACCAAAACTTCAGGTAAAATGGCTTTTGTTATGAAATATTATGTTTTATTAGAAATCTGAAGAGCACAAACGATTCCACATCAAGTCAGCTCTTAAGAGAAGACCGATTCGTCATCAAGTCTGGTAAGTGAACATAAGAGTAAGTTCTACACGTGTATTTAATTACAAGTGCATGAATTCTGTTTTATGGCATATACAACACCTAATTAAACAATTATTTTATCATAAGGCCAGGTATATAAAACATGCTTGTCCAATATTTGAAAAGTAATTAAAAAAATAATATACACATCATTTGACAATTTACGGGATTCAGAAAGTTTACGAGAAAACTTCTGTCTTAATTGTTATGTAACGTTAAAGCACACTCAAGCTTAGTGGTATGTATTAAGAAACACCAGATGGGGATATCGCAACTAATGATAGTCAATGAAAGTGGGTCCCTCTGAAGATAAAAATCAGAAATTCAGAAAGCCGTCACAAAAATCTCACACTTGATCGATCTGCATACTCAAAATGTACAGGTGTATTGCACGTGTTTACAGGTAAACTGCGTTGTTACACGTAATGCGCACTTGTGATGACGCCATATCTTAAGTAGAATGCATATGTGTGTAGGCATTCGAGGACTCGCTGTGCAGTCTGAATTTGAAGTGTATATAGTAAATACCGACCTCACACGGAAACGTCTGAAGTATCTTCCGATAACAACTGACACTGACACATATTTACAAAGAGTGTATTTTAACAGCTTTTACATAAATACCAATGCACGATCTCTTCTTGAGCATTTCTCAGATAAGTTAGTTTTCACTACATCGATAAAAAGAAAGAAAAATGAGACTTTGAGGTTATCTTTGTAAGAAGGGCAACAACTACCAAACGATGTCAATTTTCCATTTTTTCTGGGCCCAAAATTAATACGAATATCTCTCTACATTATGTGATAGAACTCGCCATCGATTTTTTAAAATATATATTTAACCAGGGTTACATATTTAGACAATGTCTGGTTTACAATATGGCCCTGCAACAATAGATATATACAAGCATGATAACAATTAAAGATGATAGTATAGCAATGCAATATAGTACTTGTATCACAGTCATGTTACTTACAATATTGTGGTTATCATAAAAATTTTAATGTAATTTATTTTTGAACACTTGCATAATCAATTGATTTCATCCAGTTCAAACACGCACTATCATAACACACATTGTTGTTACTGTACTGATGTGAAATAGAGACTAAATATACACTATAGATTATTATAAATATGCTACACATTATTTATATGGGATTTAAATGACATAGATCAAGACCAAAACAGAAATAAAGAATTACCGTAACAATTATCTTTATTTTTAAAGTCTTTGTTGCCCGACAACACATAAGGGAATAACATAAAACAAACTGAAAGAGAAAAGACAATTTAATGCTTAAAGTCTTAAATGGTTATATTATCACTAAATATTAATACGGTAAATTATATTCTATGATAATAGACTATCATCTTTCAGATAACCTAGAATTTTATAAATCTCAACAGTTTTAAAAAGGGACTTTAGACTTCTAACGTTGTGATAAAAACTTTATCGAGTAGACAGAAGGTCAATGCAGTCCAATAAAAATGTTTAACGGTGAATGACTCATCACATTGCGATACGAAAGTTTAAGGCAAGTTCATGAATGTTTTACGAATGAAAATATTTTCGATATGTCTATTGCTAAGATTTTGTAGTACAGAAAGAAAATCTGAATAGATAACAGCTCTAATTACTTTGTTTGTTTAAATATGTTCAAGGGCGAGGTAGATAGCTCGCGCTTCCGCCGCGAATATTGAGGCGTTGTTCAGTAGCCGGCATCCATAGGCTTCATCTTGTGCAACCATGGCCGCGGCAACCTTTTCATTACCTTTTGAACCACCAGTATATAAATGTAGAAATGTTTTATATTCTAACTGCAATTTCGAGATTGATGACCGAAATGTGCAACTGTCTGGGTCTAGTCAACTGCAGGTGAATTCAAGGCCCCAAAGAGCTGATTAGACAACCAGCGTACACGTTAAGTTTCCAGTTCAATTCTTTTAAGTTCCCACTTTAGGGTAGCTATGTCCGTCACGTAAAATGATAAGGACCGTCTTGTTCTGGTTTACCTCCAGAAACAACACAGATATTAACTTAACTTGTGTATTAAAAAATCCAAATATCATCATATACAGTGTAGGAGGTGTATTACGTCCAGTTTCTCATCCAGGCTCACATCAGACTGGTATGCCTATTTAAGACCTACAAAATGTGACATACATGTATGCACGACAATAAAGTAAAAACATCATTACAGAAAGGATACAAATATAATATATACACATAATCGAGTTTATCATATGTAGATAGAGTGTTACATTCCTATCCATCCTTCGAGAAGAGGTTCCGAAGGGATAATTGAAGTATCCGTTATTTACAGTAATAGAGAAGATTTTTCATATGCATGAATGACATTATTGTACTTTTGATACTTCCAGACATGGCAAGACAAATGATACGAATGATTAACAATGAATGTGGAAACCGGGACTGTGTGGTGCATTCGTTGATGTGAATAACTGGACAACGTCGTGTTGTAATTTGGTTGTAATGATTTACATGTAATTAAAGATTATACAATCGATTGTACAATGGCATTTCCTGTTTTTCTTTGTCACGGTTTCTTGTAAGTCTTCAATGGGTGAAGAACATTTTGACATTTATTCGATCACTTGGGATTTTCTTCAGTTGCCTCTCAGATTTTGAAATAATTTCCTTAGCATCACCGAAGAGTTCTAGAAGAACGAAACAGCTGTATGATGCAGCATCTCTATGACAAGCCTTAGAAGGACGAAACAGCTGTATGATGCAGCATCTCTATGACAAGTCTTAGAAGGACGAATAAACTGTATGATAGAGTATATCTATGACAAGTCTTAGAAGGACGTAACAGCTGTATGATGCAGTATTTCTGACAAGTCCAAGAAGGACGAAACAGCTGTATGATGCAGTATTTCTGACAGGTCCTAGAAGGACGTAACAGCTGTATGATGTAGTATTTCTGACAAGTCCAAGAAGAACGAAACAGCTGTATGATGCAGTATTTTCTGACAAGTCCTAGAAAGACGTAACAGCTGTATGATATAGTCTAATTCATTATTGAGCACTACAGTATCTAATTTTAAAACATAATTGTGATATCATCAATTGTTCTTTTTCACTTGGAACGAGCATGTTACCTGTATGTCCTATATGGTACACGTGGCAGTTTTATAAATGTTTCTTTTATTGGACTGTCACTTAAAATGACAGATACAGGTAACTCTTGTATCTTTCTATTGTACTAATCAGAATACAATAAGATTAGTACGAAAAAAAAAATTATAATTACCAGTAGATAACCTTGTTAACTTGGTACTGTCAAAACGAAAATATTATCATTTGATAAGTTATATCCAAATCATTCCTACAACAGAAAAAAATTGTAGTGTGCCAGCTGAAAAAATGCACCAATAAAACCATAATTATATATTAGAAGATTTTGACATGAGTGACACGTGAAAAAACCATTATTTCCAAAAAAAAGACATATTTTCAGCATTCATGTTTTCATCTTTTTCACAAAACACTTTCACTGTTTTATGAAAATGATGGAAATGCTTCCTTATGTTAAATAAAATGCACCGTTTCATTTAAGAGCGAATTTTTACTAAATCATTGTGTTGGTTGTGAAAGAGAAGTTTCCTAGTAGATTAAAGTATATATGAACTCGCGCTGTGAAGCCCTTGATTCTTTGAATATAGCATATTGTTTTAAAGGGAAACGCCCCTTTTCTCTAAGCAATGAAAATGAGCCTATATTAATCGTTTGTTTTGTGTCCATTATAACAAAAAAAATTCAGTTAATTAAAAAACTCATTTAACTGGAGAATATCCCTATCGACATATTCTGACCACCACCTAATTTGTAGTTGTTTCGTTAAAGATAGCATCTGTTCCAATAATAATTCATTACTTAAGAACACAAATAGTTTTTTAATTGTAAGCTTGGAAAGAGGATATCCTGCTTCACTGTCGGAGGAGGCGATGAAAATACAATCACAGAATTGAACTTAGCAGACTAAAATTATGCCCTGTGCAGTTCACTATTTTGATTTTAATCATCACATACAACACAGATAAGGTAAAAACACGTGCTGTTACTTTTGACTGTGTGATGATTAACGTTGATTAGTTGAACGCAAGGAGGCCATGTCGTCGTAGAAATTTCAGATGGCGAACTTTGGTAAATGTTCATATAAAGTCTGTTGTCCAGGACCAAGTTTATGGAATCGTTATTAAAAAATATATGTTTTTTTTATTTTGATACAAAGGAAGTCCGTGTTTAAAGATGAAAATAAGCATTAAACTATACACACAATATACTATATACAGTTTTAAACTTATCTCCGCAACACATTTTTTTTTTGCACAATTGCTATTCTTTCGTTTGTGTTTAATCAATTACGATTTAAGTGTAGAGTAGACAGACATCTGATGCTGGAAACACAGCAGCGGATCTAGGATATCGGAAAGTGGAGGGCAAAAATAGTTTAATCTCAGAATATTCACGATTCTGCTGTTTGATTTACACGTGAATAGTATCCAGTCTTAACGTGCAACCTCTTCCGATCCATCACTGACACGTCAGTTCTTCTTACAACCAGAATAAGTACGACACAATAACCATAAGAATGCATTAGAATACAAAACGAAACAGAACCAATCAGCTTGGTTATCTAACGTAAAATGTCTATGTCTATTCGGCTCAGTAGCTTATATTTCATTTAAAGTTCTTAATTAATATTGGTGTCTTCATGCTGTAGAAAGGCAATATTTGAAATTAAAGCATCGAACAGATCCATTTTACACCACAATACAGTAATTAAATACGATAATGGTACAATCATCAAATTCTCTGTGTTCACTATCTTGTATCTTCAGAACTAACTGTTTCACGTTTTTCGGTGAAATGTTGATATCGTGTTAATCGTATTATATGTCCACAAAGTGACACCACAGTAAAACGATATTATTTATATCAATTGTGTGTGTGTTGTACACTTCAAGTTACATCTCTTTGTTATTCCTATATCCATAGTCGCGTCCCAATGTCCAGTTTGACCAATCTATTTATTCGGGAAATTCCTCTCAAATTTGCGCTTATAACATCACGTGACATTTTTGAAAAAGAGACAGTTCATTTGTATACACGAACATGTGATAACTCAAATAATTTATCATTTTGAAAAAAAACATAAATTAGGATTAAAGGCACCTAGATCAGGTTAGTTTAAGCAAAAGGCCAAATGGGCCTGTATCTCTCACCTGGTGTAAATATACCATCCAAATAACATGCCTCTAGGTCTTTCAGTTTATGAGTAGAAATTGTATAACGGTTTTAACAATTTTGACCCTTGTGACCTTGAATAGTAGTCAAGGTAATTTGTTTTCGCAACTGTTGTCGGGTTTTATCCTGGGCACATACCAGCCAAATATCATGCCTCTAGGCCTTTCAGGTCATGAGAAATAGTCGTTTAAATGTTTTAACAAATCTGACCCCGGTAACTTTAAATATAGGTCAAGGTCATTTCTTTTCGCAACTTTGTAAGGCTCCATCCTAGTAACATACAAGCCAAATATAAAAACATTTGGTCAATTGGTTATTGAAAAGTTTCTTAAAGGAAAAAGTTGACGCATGAAGCCGGACCACGGACGCTGCGTCACAGCATAGCTCATTTGGCCCTTTGGGCCAGGTGAGCTAACGAGGTTTAGTGAGTGTTGAAACTTCACCATTATTGTTCTGACAGGGGAACCACCTGTCTCAACCTTCAAGCGATAGAAGGAAATCAGATAGTGGTAAAATGCGCGAATATATCTTCAGAGCTGTAGAAACTACTTATTAACATCCATTGACGGCGGAATCTCATATAAATTTATCACCGCACTGTTTTGAAATTGACGTTCAAAACTTCAATTGGGACACTATAGACTTCCGCAATATCTACAAGAAACAGCGATCAGTTTGCAACAATATTACAAATCAATATTCAGTTGAACGTAGAACGCATTCTTAAAATTTTGTTTTGTTTAGGGACGTTCTGCAGCTGAAGTCATTTATGGCGATACCGTATCTCATCAAACTGAAAAGGAGTTGTAATTCTGTATCAATACTAAACAAATGAGTTGTTTAGCAAATTATAGTGTATCATGCACATCACTTGTAGATGATATAACATTAATGATAAAGGAGCTGTAGCAAACATATTGTCATAGAAAGAACATCATAAAACCTACCATATCTGAACTCCATATATCAGATCACAATAGCATTAACACATTTTCATCTACTTACGATTTACTTACCTTTGTATGTATGATTATATGTTGATCTAAATATAGTTTACATCCACACGGTTTCAATGGTACATACGTATGCTGTTAGACTGTTTAAACAATGATATGAGATACTGCAATCAGGAAGTTTAAGAGTTGTCAACATCACGATAGGCTGATAACTCCTATTAATCTATATCAATAGAAATATTGTCAAATTGATATGGCTGATATGTTACAGGTACGTATTTGTTTTATTTACATATACTTCAGAGAAAACTTTACCTTAATTGTATATCTTATCAATGTGTTCACTGAAAGTATAATTTTAAGTCAACACTACACCATTCGACACGATTATTATCGTTTATAACAAGACAATTCTACGACTTAAAGTCCCCGATGACCCACTGCCTCACCAAGGTGAACCCATCGCCACACCCTAAGTATGAAGTTCCAGTGACAAGAAGTGTAGGATATAGAGCTCGGACAAACCTTGCATTTTATGTAGGTCAAAGGTCAAAATAGTGCTCAGAGTGACCTACCTTTGTTAAACGATACACAGTCTAAAGACGGTGAACCCATATCTCAAGTAAGTAATGCCGATGATACTTATGTAGAAGATAGAGCCCAGTCCCGATACCGGAAAATCACATAAACGGATAGACACAACGCAATACTATAATCCCCCCCTGCCCCATTCCCCCCCCCCCCCCCAACCTCCGGTTCCCATTGGGGGACTAAATAATACAATAAACATCATCGTAATTCTTACTCTACACCAATAAAACGCAGAGAATTTATGATACAAAGGAAAAAATATTCTGAAAGCATAGAATTACTTCAAATAACGGTTTGATTTTATACCCAATGCATTGAAATACTTCAAACAAATAAATTAATTATCCTTAACGCCTTAAAATACAACCAGTAGATTAAAGATTTATAAAAAAAACAATGGAATAAAACAACCAAAGGAAATATGTAAACCCAAATCAATGAAATTCTAACATATGAAAGATTAATACTAGACATCTGGGTTACTACAAAGTAAAGATTTGTCCGGAAAAAATATACAAAAGATGTACACGTGAATAACACGAATTACTAAAATACTGCAAAGGAAGACAGGAATGAAAAGAAAAGATTGATACTTGTTAGAAACGACTATGGATTTTGGGATCTTTCATTAAGGTATACTTGATAGTATTTCGTTGGAACGTAAAATACAACACCGACGCCAATAAACATTTAACAACTTATATAATAAATCAACAAATTCAAGATACAAACTTCACAATAGGAGATAGACCGATCACATGCCTTTCCCTACTCACAGTGAGTGGATGTCACTTCCCTATGGCAGCGTCCTTACTTTCGGATCGTGATCACACTGGGTCACACCGCTCGCGTTCGGGCTCTCGCGGTCATGGTGTACACACACAGAGTCAAAGTTCACTCGTACACCCACTGGTTAAACACTTAAACAACACATGAGGTCTTTGTTTTCTTCATTATTGTGTCACGAACAGTCTTCTTCTCTCACCATCTTCCCGCCTCCTCAACCCAATCCAATCGTCCGAACCCCTCGGACTTCTTCCCGATAACAGTGCCTCAAGTCAACTCGGCCCACAATCCTTTAAGGGCGCACGACACTAAATTTTTACAAGCACAAATAAATTATATTTATTCTGACAATACTGATAAAACACTGAAAACCAAAAAAAAAAATTTATATCGAAACGAATTAAATATTTCAAATTGGAGATTTATACTGATACGCCAGAAAGTCTGCTAAAACAAATCAAAGATTGATACCGAAACCAATGAAATATTACAAGGTGAATAAAACCGCAGGTTCTGAAAAGTTGTGTTTGCGTTATTGTCGATAATTAAATTTCTTACATGGATCAACGGAAACCCAATGGATGTTATGTTCTCAAAAAGAGAACCGAGCAAGAATCGAAAACACACTAAACTTCATTACACAGACAGTTAGATAATTGCCCAATTAAGTCTTGCTGATTTCTGTGCATTTTTCTCACCTATCAATATTTTTTTAAATTTTCAGTAATGAATTCATCGATTTGAGTAAAACAAATCCTAAATATCGATCTGAAATGTAAACGCCACAGATTTGGGGAGAAGAGATGCAACAATCTAGAAATGGAGGAAAAACATGAAAGCATCATGTTTATTGTACTGTTTTGTGGTAAGCTGTTTCTGGTTGTGAAACTATGACGTGCGACATATTTAACATCTCTTGTTACCTGTCAGATTCATTTAAGTAATCCTAAATTCATCATTTAGATGCATTTTCTTGTTCTTCCTCGTTTATCTGTGTAGAGGTATCTTCAAGCATTCCTCTATACACCTAGTAAAGAAGCAAAATATGCGAGTAAACCAACCGAATCATAGAATATCTTATTCTGTATTTCCTAGATTGATAAACTTCATTGGCGCCATATGATATAGGTAGGATATTTTCATCCCCATTGCTTCCTGTTCTTTCTTTTTTGTTGATGTAACAATCACAATGAAAACACAAACAGCCAGTATAAAATTCATGTTTAATCAGCTATATAATTCATACCTATATTTAGATATTGATAAGATAATTCACCCAATTGTTATTACGTTTAAATTCAATATATATATAATATTTAAATAGTACACATGTAGGAAATTTACAATCTAGCAGCATGATTAATCTGCTATTCGTAACAACGACGGGACTAACAGAATGAAGGTTACAGGTAGATCGACCTGATTGGCTCTTAAAATGTAAGTAACATGGAAAATGGCAACTTCAGAACTTTTTTGTCTTGTGAATAATCACAATTGAAAATTTATTTGAATATCTTACCTGGAGGTAAATTTTAAAGTATCGGTTATGTGAGATGTATTTAATTTGACGTTGTAGTTTGCTATGATTTGTCTAAGGTGCTTCTGAACGTATTAGGGAAGAAACTTGGACATTATCAACGAAACAATAGTTCTTATAGTGTTACTCCATTTATAATCTAGAGGTATATCGACAGATCCTTCCTTTTAAATTTGTATTACGGTGAGATTGAACCTACAATCTCTACACTTACCGTAAATTACATACATATCATATTTGTGTCGACCAGGAAACAAGGTGTTAAAACACAAGGTTTGTCAAGATTAATGATGTCCTAAACTCAAACATGAAGTCAACAACAGACACCCTCATTGGCGATATGTACAAAACATATTGCAAAGGGTTGTCTTTTTCGATGATACAAATTTTCTCGGTTTTACTAAAATCATAAAGCAAGAAGTCATGAAACAGACTGGTTTTCTCTGAGTTTATGTTCAAGGTATGTTCTTCGAAAATAGTGAAAAATTATATCCCTTTAATAAAATACGTTATGTACAAGACATGTGCTGTACAAAAATATCAAGAAAACACCAACATTGCAACATAATCATAATTCAAACTAAAATTCCATAAAACTAGGGCAAAATATAAACAAAAGAAATATTTACATGGAGACTCCTGAAAAAGTACAAGGAAAATAAGACCAGATGTTTCGCCATATAAACCTTAGTCAACCCAAGTAAGCAATGTCACGTTCTCCAATGAGAACAAGGTATACAACAATGGCACCAACAGGCAAACTAACGAGCATCAAATACGTCAAGCTTCATGCTACACAAAGAAATAGAATCTTTTTAATTAACATTATGGCGACCATAAAACTTCCCCATAATAAGTTAATGTTTGGTTGTGGTTGTAACATTACAACGTCCTTGAGGTGATACCGGAAGAATAGATAACGAGATATTATTAAATGCATGTTTTTGTAACTTATTTTCTTTATGATTAACTAAGCACTCAAAATAACAGAACCTGACATTAGAACATGCACTTGATTAATTCCTTTAACCTATCCAACAAACAGTATTCAAATTGCAAGCGCTCCATTTTTTGACACTTTATGGCCGGCAAAGAATACTAGAAAATGCTGATTCACTTGAAACGCTGAAAACGTTTTTCAATAGTGAATCGATACAGAAACCATAATTTTATCTAATCTATTTTTCAGCACACGATGTGAAAGGCATCGGTAACGAACCAAAAAAGAACAACCAACGATAAAGAAAATACAATATTGTTGGTGCTGTTAATTCAGTAATCATGTCTTCTGACCTAGAAACAACAACGTCTATAATTACATTTGTCAGTGCGTTACTCTCTGTTCTAAGCGGCTTCGCCATTCTGTGGTCGTACCGACAGTTTCCAGAGACACAGAACTACACAAGATACCTCCTGGTCTGTCTCACAGTTGCCGACATATCTACGGCATTTGGTAATTTTATTAGTACATTTAGGTGGTTTAGCATTGGAATCACGGACGGAAAAACCGATGCTTACTGTGCAGCCCAAAGTTTCATTACAACGACTTCAACTTTGAGTTCGTTTTTCTGGACGACAGCCATAGCAATTTACCTGTTCTGTGCAGTCGTATTGCGCATCAACATTGCTGAGAAACGCCGCGCACAGGTTCTCATGACAATTATTCCTGTACTTGTTCCAGGTAAATTTTTCATATCCGGGGTGATTTTAATTCCCATTTCACTTTTGTTAATTGTATAGATAAAATGACATTGTTTCCCTTATATATAGTGTTTGCTTGTACCAGTTGATTCGCTATCCCTTGGTTGTTCCGGATCTTTCAACAACTTGGGTCATTCAAGGACGTCGTCCATTATATTCAAGCTGCAAACTTGTGGTGAATGCTTGTGTTTTTAAAGGCTGTGGTATAATTGATTTGGTTGTATATTGTATCTCTGTTACAGAAAGACTGTGAAATCACTGAAGCTTTCAGTGAATTCGTGAAATCCCTAATTCACTTAGTAATTTCACGAAATCACTAAAATCTTAAGGAATTTCCTGTAATTACTGGAATAATGCTTCAGTTATTTCACGAAATCCCTGACTGTCCTTGGCGTTAAATAATAGCTAAATAAATGTATTCAAAATGTTTTTTATGTACATTTATACGTTTATGATCGTCCTCCCTACATTGTATCTGTAAACACATTACATATGTTGACAAATTAGACTACTGTGGCACCTGCTATTACAAAGTATGTTATTTGTGTACTTTTTTCATTACTCGTACATCTTCCTCATCGAAAGCTGTATAATGTAGATAATATCCTCCTTACAATGTCTGTATACACATTACTTATTTGGACAAGTGGCATCTACTATTACAAAGTCTGTTTGTTTTATAGCACTTGCACCTGTTTGTCTGACACTGTTTCTTGCTTTTGCTGCAACCACAACAAAAGAATTCCTGTCTACCAGAAGTTGTAGATTTAAAAGCCTGACGAAGTGTGGTTGTACTTTCCATGTTAACATTATAGTCATTCAATAGTCGCTGTGGACAGAGATCGAACTGATTCCTGGCATACTTAACTTTCAAAACGTCAGCTTTCAACGCAATTATATACGTCGTTTTCATCCCGATCAACAATTACTCCAAGGATATTTCTAGGGTGGCCTCTACCTCTGTCCACCATGGGAATGGACACGGCAACATTATCTATAGCTTCATCTGTCTTTATGTCAGTACGGGAGCGCTTCACCATCCTTTCTCCCAGGAATAGCTGAGCCGCTCACGCTGATGGGTGATATCTTAAAGCCGTCTGTCAAAGGAATAAGAAGTGAACGGGGGTTCAGTGGTGATAGTGGTCGAAGGAGGTAGTTCAGTAGTGGTAGTGGTCGAAGGAGGTGGTTCAGTGGTGGTAGTGGTCGGAGGCGGTGGTTCAGTGGTGGTAGTGGTCGAAGGCGGTGGTTCAGTGGTGGTAGTGGTCGAAGGCGGTGGTTCAGTGGTGGTAGGGATCGATGAGTCAGCTCTGGTCGGAAGTGGTGGGCGATGGAGGGTCCGAAGATCATCTGCAGACTGAAGGCTGTCGAGGATATCAGGGGGAAACTAGATGATGTCAAGCCGAGTCTCCAAACATGGTCTTGTATGGTGTTTGTATGCCTGCATGATGGGTACAGTTCCTCTTTTGTTGAACAAATTTGAGTCCCACTGTCCAGTCCTCGGTGTTGTTGTCACTCACCCAGGTTCAAGAATATCTTTAATGTCGCTATTTGCTCGTTCAACAGAGCCTTGGCTTTGGAGGTGTCTAGGATTGCCATGAACCATGATGAGTTCAGGCCACAACTTTTTGAGCTCCGCGATGCTGTGAATTCTGAGCCGTTGTCGCTCTGAAGGATGGCAGGTGCACCGACGAGGAGAAAAATGTCCAGCAGTTTAAAGGCGACTTCTGTTGCTCTCTTGGAAGATATTGGTCCAGATGACAAATTTTGTGAGGTGGCACTGGTAAACAATGATCCACTTGAACTGGCCTTGTGGTGAAAGACTGCATGTGAATAAGATCCACTTGAGCTCGAGAGTTAAATTACCTTGACAAAATAGGTAACAACAACACATGTAGTCTTTGGACGTTTCCGCTGCTCTTGACACACAATACAGTAGGACTTAAACAGTTCACGTTGTGATGTTGGCGTACTTCTGCCCAAGATGTTTCAGCATCCTATCATGACCGCCATGGCCCGTAGCAATCTGGGCTTTGCTGACGATGTCGTATGTGTTTCTAAGGTAGCATAGTACGTAGGGCGTTCTTCTTGTGATTTCCTCTTTTTAATCAGTTTTTCAACATCAACTGAAGAACTCCATACTTTTTCAAAGTATAGTAGTGATGACTGACTTGATGGTGGAAATTTCAGCTGCATCTTTTATATTCTCAATGGCCTTGAAGTAAACTTCTTTGGGAATAAGTGTCTTTTGACACTGAGAGTATTTGTCAAATAACTTCGCCTAAATTCCGTCTCAAAGATAGGTGTGCCATTATGATGAACATAGAAGAGAGGAGTAACCCATTCTGACTTCCACACGTATTATATAGCCAGCAAGTATTAATTGATCTGCTTTAATCTTTGACCACTGGACCTTAATTGCTAGATCACATGCCTTGTCATTATTATTCAAAGTGAGATCAAAGCAGTGAAAGGATTCTGCTTAAACCAAGTTTAATAATCTAACTGTAACATATGTTAAACCAAGTTTAATAAAAGTTTTCAGTGAACTTCTGTTTCACAATTTCCCTAAAAAAGGTCCAGTAAATATGTTTAATGCAACACTACGTTTTTCAGTAATTACAGGAAAAAGATGTTAGTGATTTCGTGAAATTACTAAATGAATTCGGGATTTCACGAATTCACTGAAAGTTTCAGTGATTTCATGAAATCCCTGATTTTACAATCTTACTGTAACATATCGACAGGGAATGTTTTGGACGGCCTCAAGATGTATGCTAGTCGAGTGCATGTGTTGCTTGTGTATTTTTCTGGAAGTCTGTGGCATGTTCGTGCTTCTGTACTTGTAAAAGGATGGAAGTGATACCGACTTCATAGTGCTCCTCACCGCAGTACACTGACGCAGACAAACATCACGACACCCCTCGTCTCTCCAAAATGTCGAACGTTGTGCATGATAGCAACTACTGTTAAACACTTTGGCATGTCTTGGCCAGATGACAGAACTCACAATTTATGAATTTATGATCACATTTGTTAAATATTTTGGCTGTTCATTTCGGGATTTAGTATCCTGGTATCCATGACTGACTAACGGTTTTACAGTACCATCACCTGGTAAAATTCCCACAGAGTCACTTCAAAAATGCCAACCAGTCCATTCGATCATTCAATATTGAGCGAGAAGTGGGGAGGACAAAGTAACATTTAGATAACTATAGTATGTAACAAAGAGGTAGTATCAAGAGAGACATTAGGGGGGGGGGGGGGGACGGGAAATGGTATCTAAAGTTTATTCGCCATTTAATATTATACTGTGAGAGTACCAGGTACAATTTTCATACCCTATCAGCCATGTACTTGAGGATTATGATTGGGGTAGTATAGGATAGATAAACTGTGTTGGTTGTTAAAGGAGATAACGGTACTGATTTCTTTACCTAAACGTCATTTTCGTGAATTGTCTCTCTATCTATCAAAAACTATGAGACATTAAAATATGATTTTACATCATCATGGATAAATTCGGTCCTAAGCATATTTATCAGAACGAGCGCAAATTTTTGCATTGACATACAGCAAGCATATTCTTATTCTGTTCATGCACATGACTGTGTTGAACTAAAACATTTTAATCAGTTGTTAAATGGATGTGATATTGTACTTTAGTATTTATCGTGGTTTAAATTTCATGACTATATTTGTATCGTAGTGACAATCACAAGTGTTGCTTTGGCTTACGATGTCCTTGGCGAGGACGATTATAATGGAAGTGGACCCTGGTGCTGGATAAAACAAAACGCAAGTCACCAGATCATGTGGAAGCTTGTAACCGGCAAGGCCTGGGAGGGAACGACGTATATCATTACGTTGGTTATATATGTCCTGTTAAAGTTCTTCAAATGGAGAGAGGTAAGTGGTGTAATGCAATGCATTTGATCTCAGCCCGACAGAGTGGATTCTCTGGCTCATTAAACAACATTGGGAGTAACCCCGAGTGCTGAAATATCCTCTAAGAGAAATGGTTAAATAATTTGTTTCTTTAAATCACCTTTCATAAGATGAAGTTACCAGATCATAATAAAACTGATGCCATTCCCCCATTTCTGACTTAGGTAAGAAACAGAGTATTCCCCTGCTTTCAGAGAGCTGGAAATAGATAGCAGGGTTTCTTAATTGTATTACTTAACGTCATATTAAATGTTATGGTTATAAAACTCGCAGGAAAGTGTTTTTGCAGTCATGTCAAAATGTGACGTCGCACCAATGCAAGACATATATTCCCCGAAGTTAACAGAAAACAAAACAGCAATCTGTCCTAGTGAAAGAGATGTTATCTAAATGGAAAGAATACCAAAGGATAATTAAAGGTGAAAATACCGGTATTATATTAATCAAAATATTTTGCAAATGTATCGCCTTGCTGGGTGTCTTTTAACCATTGTTGATTTCATTTTCACTCTAATTTATCAGAATCGTCGAAGTAACAGACAGTTTAGGTGGAGTAATACGGATCCCCGTTTACGGGACGCTGACAGCATCTTTGAGATATCCTGGTTGTTTCTACTCGTTGCGCGGATTTGGGGGACATTAAGGTTTACTTTACAGGTATAAATTTCTAAGGCATATAAGCGAGTAACATCATTTGGAGAATGTGTTACACGTGGTTGGGTGTCCACAGGTCATGTGACTCACTGGAACTGACACAATGTACAGATAACACAAGATTCGGCGTATAAGGACATGATATGAAGTGTACAACAAACTATTTTCTAAAATATAATTAAAAGATACAATAACACGTTAAATTTCAGATTTTTTTACCACCTGACAGTATATATCCTTCTGTGTATAACAGTTTATAACTAACTCTTGAAGCAAACAAATTTATCGCGCCACGTTAGAGATGTTTAAAGTGTGCATAGGCTATATCAGTAAACATACAGGAGAGAGTTCAACCATTAGACAGATATGCTTTTTGTTTTTAAATGTTCAATATTATTATAGTTTCACAAAGAAAAAGAGCCCAGAAGAAATAACATAATTTCATCGCCCTTATCATACCAATGCATTTTGTTATGCAAGTGTTACCTCTGTTGAAGAATAATGAAAAAATATTTTCTACCTTAAAGATATTAAAACATATCTTTCACTTTACAATAATTGACAACTGTAACCTCGATTTGATATATCTATCATTATAAATTGTACTACAGTACAAAATAATACTGAAATGTCAACGGAATCATAATTCAAACTCAATTCGAGTAAATGAGGACATAATATGAACAAAGGAAAAAAGTACACGGAGAAAAAGTAATTAAATTAAGATCGGGTTTTTCATAAGAATAAACGTTGTGTTTCATCGCCAAAACTCGACATGTCAATCTTGGCCAATCCAAGTAAGTAATTTAATGTTTTCTCATGAGAATAAGGTAGACAACAATGGGACAGCAAAGCACAACAATGAACATTTAAAACTGCTTAACTTCAACAATAATATTCTCCACGAGATCACTCTGAAGACAGTAAAGCATCCCCTTAATTTTCCTCAACTGTATCTCTCATTACCATGAAATGTGAGTTTTGTCAGTTGTCGAAATCTTCCAATAAAATTATGTATCGGGAGAAATTTGACAGGCCCACCCTAAAATCCGAACCAAGTATCGAGTCTGGTGAAGAGGGAAAAGGAATTCCTGTACTGGAAACTAACACTAAGCAAAAATACCTGAATTTCTAATCAACTTCAATATGTAAACACCATTGGTTTGGAAAGCAGGAGTATGGCTTTCCAGAAATGGAAATTTCACAAAAGGTCCAAATAGGGATGTTGAAAACATCACGCTTGTCATACAAGCTAGTGTTAAGCTTAACTTGTTGGTCATTAATTAAAATGAAGAATTATAAAAGATTCGCAAGGGAATAAAACTGGGGAAGCCATCAACATGATATGCAAGTAAAAACAAATTGTATATCTGTATCATTTTCATTACTTGCAGACAGCCAACATCAGCCTTGGTACCGGTATGAGTAACGCATTTCTTTATATGCAGTGTATCGGGGACAGCTCACAAGCTTTCTGGAATTTTCTCTTCTTTTTTACACTCGATTCGGAACTGCGGACGCGGGCTTGTCCAGGAAGATGTCGCTCAAGAAGAGATCGCGAAAGAGATCTGGTGAATAGGTTTCTTGTTGAAGACCTGACTGACTATTAATCCTTTTATATACATTGGGAATGATAGTAAAAATACGCGACTTTTACTTTGAAATTAGACACGATGTTATAGTACTTAAAATTATACTTGTAGATTTTGCTTCATTAATTATGACAATAAAGATAGCTGGTTTATATAATTTGAGAAGCTGCCTGATTCAGTGGTGCCAACTAAGGACCATGCCATGGTGCATTTTCATAAAAATGCTGTGTCATTGATACATTAGACTGATATCCCTCCGGCTCCATTATACAGGCATGAGCTGTTTTCTCTTGGTTTCTTTGTCCTTTTTCATAAGTAAATCTCTCATTTGGTCATATTTTTTATTTTGGATTACATTTTGGTATTTTCTTATTTTCTACTTCCTTGAGCATTCATTGTTGTGTACTAGTCTTCATGGCTGGCTTGAGGGGAAATTACGTTTAAGAGAAAATACAAATGTTGCTTTCTAGGATTATAGGACACCAGTAAATATGCTTATTCCTTGCAGAACAACAGAGCGTTTAGGACCGCAGAACAAGCATGGCAGAGTTTAGGACCACAGAACAAGCATGGCAGAGAGTTTAAGACCACAGAACAAGTATGACAGAGAGTTTAGGACCACATAACAAGCATGGCAGAGAGTTTAGGACCACAGAACAAGCATGACAGAGAGTTTAGGACCACATAACAAGCATGGCAGAGAGTTTAGGACCACATAATAAGCATGGCAGAGAGTTTAGGACCACATAACAAGCATGGCAGAGAGTTTAGGACCATTTATGTAATACATCTTACTGGTTATTATTTCGTTTTATCTGTTGTTTACTGATGTATTTATTTCATCACGCCTCTGATAATAATAAGGTATTTACCACTGTTACGTGATATTCTGAAGGTAAGCTGTACTAAGGGTACCTGTTGTCTTTACTGCACGGTTGTGAGATTTTTCATTCTTACCTTCCTTTCATCTCACTGTCTTACGTTTATCCTTCATGTTGAACGACCGTCCAAGTGTGCACGGTTATGGGTTCTATCTTCAAGTCATGACACACCAGGCTTGCTTATAATTCAGCATTGGATGATATACGTCGAGTAATTAGGCCGTTGTTAGTAGTATGTCACTTGGACATTCGCCGTAGTCAGCTCAAGATATTTTACTATAACTGCAAAAGAAAGCGTCCGATGGTATCGTCATCATCCGTAGACACCAGCTTCATTTTGTAACAATAAAAAAGGGCTGGATAGTACTATTATGGATAACCAGACAATATTTCATAATGTTTTGAACTACTTGTAGAATACTAGTATTGATATTATTACCTAACTCCCACCTTCCAACACTTGGCACTTTCAGTGTAAAATTTTGCGGATTATATATTTTGACTCTTAACTCGTAATTTTGTTCATCATAAAAACGACATTCAATTCTTCTGTTATATCTGTGTATTGGCGATTCAAACCGATAATCTTTATATCAGTCCAAATTAAAATTACTTTTCATTTTTAAATTGACGAAGGATATTTTATTTTCTATTTACTTAACGTTTAAAAAAGCAGTCAGAATAGCAATTTGGCTTAAGTTGGAAGGATCTTTTACATATATAGTAAAAAATGAATTTAAAATCTCTATGTCTCGAAATTAAATTCATGAAGCATTGTTCAGAATAGACTGTTAACATAATTTTCAAATTCACCTGAAAAGAGAATTGAAATATTGTTGTCTTCGAAGATCATAAAAGAGCTTTCAGTAATCTATGAATAGATCAATATGTTTACTGTTTTTACGACGATATTTATTGGTTTCCCAACCAAATTCTTTATACAGTAAAGTATTATAAGATGTGCCTAGCAATAATACATGCAGCTATTATCTTAATTGATTCAGTTAAGTAATAAGATTTATTACTACAGTTAGCCCATTAAGCATCTGTAAATTCTAGGATTGGTATAATGACAGCGTTATTATTATTTTCCCTAATTCATATTTTTAACTTCGTTGAATGCTGACACGTTTGTATGATTTGTCATAAATATTGATGTGTTAATGCTATGATCGAACAGCAATAAAATTATTTATCTATAAGATGTCTCAAAAGCACAACTGAAAGATACTAGGTGGTTTTTTTTTCTAAAATGAAAAAAAAAGATTTTGTTTTGTTTATGTTAAACTCAACACTCCAATCATCAGCCCACAATTGGATATTTTCTGAATCATAGTAAGTTGCCAGTTATTGAAGTTTCACTATTATCTATCACTACATATAGAAATGTATCATGACGTAATTGGTTGAAATATTCGTAAATTATTTTAAAATAGAATCGACCAAGGACCGATAACCGACCTCTGGTGGACCTCTGAGTAACCATTTTTTAATTAAGGAAAACACACATCATGACAAATTTTAGCTTACTATGAGATTAATAAATCTAAATCAGTTTAGTATTATTTACCATGGCATTGTGATTGCAGTCATATTGTTAGCGTATTGGTAGCGGCATTTTATATTAAAAAAAAAAACGTGAAATAGAGACTTTTTCTGTCTTGATACAAGATTATGACATTATCATGCCAGCCTTATATTTAATATATGAAATAAATGTTGACTTACAATCACTGAAATGATAAACTGTCGCAATGCTGATTATGTTGTGTTACCAGAACGAATGTTTAAGTACTAATGAATTCTTTATCGCAGGACAAATTCTCTACGTCAAAAATCAGTTTTATTACCTGATTTGATAGTTTCGTGGTTATTAGGAAAATTACCATTTCGTGGACATTTAATGCCGTTACCCAATAAAAATGTTTTCTCTTGTAATTCGAATCCCTCATATGTTCATCATTTGGGTTAAAGGGTCACGTACCATTTTACTTCCAGAATCATGATATTTTAACGGATTACACTTCGGTAGTCATGATGAAATACCCACGTAATGAAATTGATGTGCATATTATTTGTGATTTTAAACCTGAAGTCGATATGTAATAATGGAAATTTGTACATAAAGATCTTAATTGATAACCATTTGGTTCAACACTGGGTGTATGCATCATTTCTGAGGTATTTGATTACATATGCACACAACAAATCACGCGTGTGTAAACGATGGCTTCTCAGAGTGAGTAATGAAGATGTAAACACATGTCCGCTTAACCATGGAACAGTTTAGAGATAGTTGGTAACAGATTGAGAAATATCGCATTAAAAAGCATGCTTACACTAAATTTTGTTACATATGAAGACTCATGAATAATGAATATCTTAAACAAGATGATTGCTTTGGTCTAAGAAGAGGAGAGCAGGGGTCATCCTAAGAGTTAATCACGTAATGAGTATTTGAATGAGCAAATGATGAATATAAAACATTCTATAATAAAATCCTACTGTCAAGAATACTTGATATGAAACTGTTGTTGCGAAGTGTACAACTCTTCATGAAAAAGTAGTAGATTATGATGATGACCTAAATTCCAATAGATCATATTTAAGGCTGACTTAACAGATGTCCAGGATGTAATATTTAATTTGAGTTCCCATGTCATTTAATCCCTGGTAGTCATAGCCATGAAATACACTAATGCAGAATACGTATGATACGTTTAAGTGTTAAATAGCGTTAAATTAGTGTCGTCAATATGTGAGTAAACGATGAGAACGCAAATTATTAGCCAATGAAATATGTCATAAATTGTTCTTGTTAACACAGCCACTTAAAACAGGATGCACTTAAAAAGATGCAAATGTATATACGTACATGCTGAAGCCTGTAATAAAACAGAGATAAGGTCCTTTTCTTTAAACAAGACTTTATAACATAGGGTAGTTTTAAAATGACATCACGCTCACGCTTAAGGAAAAATGCGGTCGAAATGTTCTGAAAAATAAACAAAAATAATAATTAAGCGTCGAGTATGAACATCCTTGTGCGTAAGCAAACAATATCACGGCTCTGTTAAACGACTGTGGTATGTCAGGGCCTGACTTCATGAGACAAAGACTTTCTCATGGGGGCGAACGCTCAACTGCAGGCCAAAAGTGAGGCATTGTCAATAAAGACTTTACAGAAAACGATAAATTTGTAGAAAGAAAAATAAAATCCCATATTTCAATTATAAACAGATGTAATATAGGGGACAAATTTAAAGTGGTTTCGCGAAAAATTTAATTGGACAAAAATGACATTCTGGATGGACTCTGGAATAGTATTATGACATAATTGGAGGTTTGAATGATATGCCCATTCAATTTCTCAAAATTTATTTACCCTTAAAAATCGAGAAAATAACATCTAATAATAATAATGTACCCAATTTCAATATATCGTCCTCATATGGTATCAAGTAATGCAAGTTGATGAAAATTATTATGGTCGTCATAGTGATCTCATTGAGAAATATTCTACATTTTGATGTGATATGAAGCTTGAGATCTTTGGTGCTTTTGGTTCAATTGTTGTGTAACTTGGTCTCATTTGAGTTGCTCTGATTGACCAAGATTTACATTGCTGATGTCATCGATGAAGCATATGACGCTTACCCTTTTTCAGAATAAGTATTGAATAAGTATTTCGTTTGCTCATAGTCTGCCTTATTCTTATTCAACTTGAGTTTGGATTATAATTACGTTCACATGTTGGTATGTTCTTGTTCGTGGTCAATATTTGATTTTCATTGAAGTAGATTGTAGGGCATGTTTATGACCTAATAGTCTTATTGTTGCAGGGTGTTGAGATGTGTCTGCATATAAATTCTAAATCTAATCTAAACGTTCATATAACGCGAAGAGAATTACCCTAGAGAAACACATTTTAATGATAAATGTTCCGGATATAATAATGAATTATGCGAGGATCATGGACTCTATTTATAATTTCATTGCGCAAGCGCACTAGATTTTCGTCCTGAAGTACAGATCCGTTTATCAGGATATTGTGAAATGACCAAGGAATATATTGTTCTAGTATGAGAGAAGAGCGGTGTTCGAGCATTTATTCGAATGTTGGTGGTCAGATTGTTAAATGCATCTCATCGGCACACCCTTTCATAAGAAACGGAGTTCCACACCAGAAATCTGTATGACAATGAACGTGATCTCATATAGTGATTAAATGTGTGCGTGTTATTACGTAAGAAGTTCATTCGCGTGTGTTTAAAGGACAAGACAGGAAGTAAGAGGGCGGACTTGTCAACCAGAAACATACATTTAACGGACATGGAGATGGTATATCATCATTACTATAACAGTGGATTTAGTACATAGATCGGGTATTGTAAGTATCATATTTTATACTGTAAGGTGCTGATGTATTATAGGTTGAAGTTACAGGAATATTTTTGCTTATTTGCTTTCCTACTAAGTTTTGTTTCTTCCTACTAGATTTCTTAAAATGGTATAGCTTACAGCCTGATATGTATTATAAATATATGGTGATTATCAGAAGTCATCGACAGATTATTTTCTTTGTTAAAGTTACTTATTCATGAAATAATTGAGAGCATTTCTTGTTACTTAAATTTCTATTTACATATTTCTGATCCTATTGCTGCAGACATTTCCCCGATAATTAGGTGAACTTTGATCAAATGCGTACATTAATGGCGACACCAAAAAGTCTGCACTGCCTTAAATACGATGACCGGAATATGTGAAACTGTATCTTTATTCCTTATTTGTTTTGGCAGTTTTCTTACTGTCACATTTAGCTTTAAAAACGATTCTGTCGGAGTAATGTAACTGATGGGACTATGTAAACAATTTTAGAATGCATAGCCGTTTGGGTTTCCATCATCATCTGTAGACATCTAAGGACGTATTCTCCAGGCATGCGAGATGAGCTCATGTGTCCTGTGTGTTTTCGGTAGACTATGACATGATCGTGATAGTAGATAGTAGATAGTAGCATTTTATAGTGCTACCACACTGAATTATACTGCCATAGGTAATAAGCAGGACATCCCACCCAGTTTCCAGGCAATGGGCTAACCAGTGGTTGCACCACTGCGTCCAGCAGAGAGTTGTTACTATCATTGTAAAGACAGGAGGCAGAACCTGAATCCTTCTTCACAGGAAAACATCACAACCCTCAAAAACGTGTAGCAGTGTCACAGGAGACATTATTACAAGTTCCCCCTTTACTCTGGTAAAAGGTCCCTTTTCGGAAAGTGTATTGGAAGTCTGTGGGATGAACTCCGCAAAAGACTTAACGTATCTTGCAATATACGACAAACAAGGTCCTTCCTATCTATCAGACTGACTGCCTCCCCAATGTGTAAAAAGGATCATGCAAAGGAAGGTTTCGGTAGACATCACTTGTTCTGTAGAATATAGTCGTTTACCTTAGGTTTACTCCTAACATCCTCGATTTTTTTCCAAGTTTTGATAACTCTTCCTCGTTCACATTGTTTAGGGAAATATGAGCTGTTTAAACATAAAATCTTGTACAATAAGCATCTTTTCCTATTTCACTTGTGCATCATTAGCACAATAAAGCTATAATTGTCTCTAAGAAATATGGACAATACCCGAAATGTTATGTATAAATCAATATTTCATCCCTGTGGTTGAGTAACGACGTGACTATCATCCTGTTTTTACTTGTTCACTTACTTGCATGGATCTATTATTCATGAATTTTTGTTTCGTTTTCAGGATTCGGTCCTGTAAAATTAGGTATCTTCTTCCAATGCTTAACCCAAAGTGGATCTAGATAGAGCGAGCTATGGCCGAAGCAGCATATTTACAAATGTCACGTGACTTACGTATATCAACATGCACTATAACGTGCATTAGTGGGTTACTCTCCGTAATGAGCGGTCTCGCCATTCTGTGGGCGTACCGACAGGTTCCACAATCACGGAACTACACAAGATATCTTCTGGTCTGTCTTACTGTAGCAGACATCTTTACGGCATTTGGTAATTTTATCAGTACATTTAGATTTTTCGGAATGGAACAGAGTCGACCAAACAACGATGCTTACTGTACAGCCCAGAGTTTCATTACAACGACTTCATCATTGAGTTCGTTTTTCTGGACGACAGCTATAGCAATATACTTGTACTATGCAGTCGTATTGCGCATCAACATTGCTGAGAAACGCAGCGCACAGGTTCTCATGACAGTTATTCCCATACTTATTCCAGGTAAAATTAAGTATAACACTTTAATTCATAATATCAACCCATTTAGTAATAAAGACGTCTTGAAATCTCTATATTTGCTGAACCACTGTTTGCAGACATTCATAAATAACAAAATTAGTAAAATTTGAACTAAAGCGGGGTCATCATTGGGTGTAGACAATTTATAAAGATCTATCATAGAAGATTGGTTTGCTGATACTAGACACATTTATAATGATGACTACTACTGATGGAGGAAAATGTATTTTAATAGAACATATTTTTTCTTCAGTAACCATCACAGGTATTGCTTTGGGGTACGGTGTCCTCGGGGAGGACGTTTCGTCAGGGAGTGGACCCTGGTGCTGGATCAGAAATGATGTAAACAATCAAGTCATGTGGAAACTTGTTACTGGCAAGGCCTGGGAGGGAATGACGTACATCATCACAGTGGTTATATATGTCCTGCTAAAGTTCTTCAAATGGAGAAAAGTAAGTAAACATTGGTGTGTTTGAAAGGCATGATAGAGACAACTAAGATAACAACACCATTTAAGTAAGATTTAATCTATTGGTGTTACCAGGTTCATATATTGTCGACGCTCTTTGTCAACATTTACCAACTGCAGAAACCGTTTCTCACTTAACTGAAAAGTAACAAAAACAAATAACAAGAAAATACGAACATGTCAACGTCATCATAATCCGAACTGATATTCAATAAAACCAGAACAAAATATGAACAAAAGAATAATTTATACGCCATGTAAATCTAGGTCAATCCGAGTAAGTAATGCTCCGTTCTCAAATTAGAAGGTATATAATATTATATAAATATATCTCAATGCGGATAAGTTTTAAGTTGCCATATAAGAATGTTTGTTTTTCTCGCAACCCACTGACATTATAATGTGTAAAAAAAAAAAGTCTGTAAAGCAAGGCAACTTAAAAACAAATTAAACAGTCGCATGGAGACTCGTGTGGAAAAATTATGATTAAATTTTACAGAATCTTCTACTCAATCAACAACTACTATATATGTTTTCAAAAGACCTTGTGAAAAGCTCACTTTCCTTAATTGCCTCCTAGGATTAGCATTTAGGCTCATACCGTCACTGACGAACCCTACATGGAAGGACGAAAAAGCTATGTGATGCACTTTAGTTCACTGTTTGGCTCTAATGTTACTTATCTAATTTTCTACTAAATCTTGCCATTTTTGTGTTTTTGTTTTGTACAATGTTCGATTAATTTTGTAACTTTCACGTGTCTGGTATTTTGAAAAGAACGCCAAGTGCATGTGTATATAAACCTTTTGTAATGAGCTAATGATGGTGGCAAGCCCCACCCAATACTCCATCATAGTAATATAATATAAACCCTGACTTACTTAAATCTGTCGATAATGAAGGTCCCTAACTCTTTGTTGCTTTGCTGATGTCATTAGTTTAGCAGCACAAATCTTAATAGCTTTGAATTAAGAAATGAGATATGTTCAACATCTAATTAACATTTAGTTTTGCCTGTGTTTGGAGAAGTTTAAAAAGTAAACATAATAAGCTCAGTTAGACAACGTTGATTTATTTCATTTTGTGAGGTTTTTTTACATGTCCATTCATTGATCGATTATGCGATGACCTATATCCTTCAGAATCGCCGAAGTTGCAGACAATTTAGATGGAGCAATTCGCATCGCTGTCTCCAGGACTCAGACAACATATTTGAGATATCATGGCTTTTTCTACTCCTTGCGCGGATTTGGGGGACCATGAGATTCATTTTTGAGGTAATATATATAATGATTTGATTCTAATATAATATTGTACAAACTTAACATGTATGCCTTCCAGTCAATTTTGCTAGATGCTTGTAATTTCATTGGGGTTAATTCTATCTTCATATGACCCAGATACCTGACCCTTGGTGAACATACTCTAGACAAGAGAGGCAGTTGTGTGTGACTCTGTTAAACCAGTGACCATTTCATTTTGGTGGCTATTTTTGTTGTTCAGACAAATAATTCTGATAGCACCGTTTTGTTCCTTATATTAGACCAAATCTATGTATTCATTTTTCATCAAAATTGGGCATTTGAATTGAACTCCCCGCTGCGGGTATCAAACAAACATGATCATCAATATTCACACAAAGTTCCATTTCAATCTGACCGACGCTTTTCGAGTTATAGTCTGTTACATTCTACCTAGTCACGGACTCTGGCAGCCACCATATTTTATGTCGAAAAAAGAATAACTCAAATCCGCATAGCCATCTACTCTCATGAAAACACTCGCTTGAATTTTTCGAGAAATGTGTTGGACAAAGCTCGGCGGGCGAATAAACATCATAATAGTAAGAAGAAACAGGATAAAAAATTGTTTTGGGGACTATGATTATGAGAAAATAATTCTACAGCCCCTACTTAAATTGCCTTATTACCATACTCGTCCTATTTCATACTTTATTATTTCAATGGTTTAACTTATTATATTTTTGTATTATAGCAACACATGTGCAATTATATCGAAATATCTTTAATCTCTTGATTTCATGTGTCTTAATTAAGTCGTATGATAATTATTTGCAGCTAGCCCAGATCAGACTAGATCCAAGTGTGTTCAACGCATTTCTTTACTTGCAATGCATTGGGGATAGTTCACAAGCCTTCTGGAATTTTCTCTTCTTCTATACATTCGATCCGGACATGCGTCAGCTAGTTTGTCCACCAAGATGTTGTGTACGCGGAGGTTACACTAGTGTTACAGTTCCAAAAGAAATTTGCCTGGAAGCGTTATGACATCCATTGTACTGAATCTAGCGATAAACTGTTTATTCGAACCGGTACACTTAACGATATGTCATCTAAAATCAACATGTTTCATATTCCCTGTCTTCAAAAAAATCTTGACATACCGTTATAAACTTTTGATGGAAGCCATGTTTTCCATTTGTTACTCATCTTAATTGCATCATTTTCTGTGTTATAATTTGCAATTGGTACAGAAAGAATGGTGAGAAGGTAGAACAGAAAAAAAATCTGAAAGGATTTAAAATCTTGACATTGGTACACTTTTTCGTCTCTATATGTATAAAAAAATGTCCTAACTCACCACTTCATAACTTATGAGTCTGTAAAACAAGATATGTCTCTTAGCAAAATATACAATCAATACAAATGGAAAAAGAAAAGACATAAAAAAATCGTGCTTCAAATCTGAAGTATAAGCTCTATTTTCCGAAGTGTCACGAAACTTCTAATTTATATGAAAATAGATAGTGTAAAAAGTTGCCATACATAATATGCAGGTGTCCTAATGTAAGAACACTTCGATGCAAGTACAGAAAATAAATAACAACGCTAACATTTATTGATAAGTATACTATATGTTAAACTCATAGAACAGCGTCAAGTTCAACGGAGCAGTTTCGAAGCAGTAGGTGCTACCGCTACGACATCATTGACAACGTCAACGACATCAAATATTTCCAAAATCATATTATTTATTTAAACATTTATGTATTTTTTGTATATAATGTATCATTTCATCTTCATGGCTGTCATGTATCTACATTTAAACAATATCATATTATATTTAAGTATGTAGGTAAACATCTGTGATTTACACAGTGAAAGGAGTATCACTTCGTGATTGAAGTGCGAATATTTTTATCCAAGCAAATTATACATATGGAAAATCTTACATTGGTTTTCAAGTCTTATCTGTTACATTTAGAATCTTGTTTTCTTCCCTTATCGAAGAGCATCAAAGATTGAATAAAGCAAATTCTTGTATAAATGGTTGAGTTTTGCTGACTTTGGTCTAAGGGGCTTTGCAAATATAGATAATAAAGTTAAATCTTTAAAATCCTATATAGTTGTATTTTCAGTTTGAATGATTCTATTTCCACCAAATCTGAATTGAAACGTCCTTGAAAGGAGTTGGTTTTTCAAATAGAGCTTCTGCACTCTCTGGAGACAGAACTCCAGGAACTCCATTTCTTTTCTTAATATTTGTCACTTGTTTTCTTATTTGCAATTGAACTTTCTTTCAATGCATTTTTACTATTTCTCATCTTCACCTCTCGCCTTCATATGACTCTTGAGGTGACGAGAAGAATCATCTATATCTATATTTGGTTTGACTTTGTCTTAATAAAATTGACAGCTCCTCTGTGTAATAATAACTAAAATGGAATTGTCTCTTGAATCAAAACCGCCACCGCGAAGCCATCAAGTGTTTTTATTTTTGTTGATTTTACAAATGAACAAAATGAAATTAATTTCGTATATATGTTTGAGCTGGTCTTAAACTTAGTAAAGAGGCAATGAATACTTTTAATACAACTAAATGTAAAGTAACTATATTTCTTGTGTTGTTGTTGCTATGGCATTACCATTAATTCCTTCTTAGACTCCTTCATTATTACCAACGTTCCTTTTGATATTGTCTGTTTTTTGTGTCTCCACACCGACATTGGTGTCAATCACAATGCCATTTTGTTGGTCGACATTTTGATCACGAGCCCAAGATTCAATTTCGCCTGATACAAACAGTCCAAATATTAAAGCTCCGAACAAGTCCAATGCAGCACAAACGTAGAATACCATTCTCCACTCCTCAGATGTGTCCTGTTGATGATAAATAGATGTCATTACTTGAGATTACTTTAGATATTATCCGTTATTCAAATAAGTATTTTTAGATCCACTGGAAATACAACAGTGCTGCAAAAGGCAGGTAAGATGAAAAAAAAAGAAAAGAAATTATTTCGGGTTTTTCTACTATATAAATATCGTATTTTGCTGACTACGTTGTTACAACTAAGTCGTATTTACGTTTGGGGTGAGGGCTCCTACTGCGATCGGTGCTATCATTCCTGGTACAGTGGCTGCAGTGTTCGTTATTCCATACAATATACCACCAAATCTGAAATACAAAACATTTCCCTGACTTCATCAACATCATCAGTAATAAAATAACCGATACAGATGGCCAAATTAAACTGAAGCTAGAAACAATTTGACCTAAAACGGAACCAATTTCCGAAACTTACTTCGGTGCAAAATCAATACTGTTAACGACGTATCCAGCCCTGCAAAGTCCTGTGAAGAAGACGGCAACAGACAAAAAAATCACGGCCATATCCCGATTCTCACAAGTGGAGAATCCGGTAGCCACAGAAAAAATTCCCGCTCCAAGAAACGCTACAAAACAATATAAACAATAAATGGTTAGTATCACAAAGGCATTTCAGTGAAATATTTCCATTCATCGATCAATTATCATTTTTAAAATCTCTGAAAAAATTACTTCTGAATCTTAAAGCAGGAACTTATAAAGTTCTTTGAATATAAGCAAATGGTATATTTTGGAAACAATGAGTTCGTTTGGATTTCTGATCTACAACCCTAAAAAGCAACGTAATACCTGCTGATGCATAATATGAACAACCAAGGGAAAACAAAAAGTTAAACTCAAAATAGATGTAATGAGGTGAATTCGAGGACTAAACGTCAACCAGCACTGCCTACTACTTTATATATTGTAGAAAGCGACTTCTATCTAAAAGAGTTCGTCACAACTTTAACATCAAATTCTGTTGGACATTGTCGATTATTTATTTTGTGATTTGAAGACAATGTATCATCAATATATATTCTGGTTAGCTCTTCGGAAAAGGTCAACCTAAAGAGGAGAACAGAACATGACTTTAGGTGGTAACAACAGTAATTTTGGAGGTTTTTTGTCAATAAGAGTTATACCCCCTACCTGACACTTGGTACATACGCCTCGTGGCTGCAGTGGAGAGGATCTTGTGAGATCTTAATATATCAGAGGTTTGTCCAGCTAGCAAACCAGCCATAGCTCTACAGAAATAAGGAACTGCGGACAACGCACCGTTCTGTAAAAATACACCTGCAATGTTTTTTATTGAAAATATCACATAACCTCAGTTTTGGTTTAAAAAAAATCAAATGTTTACTTAAATTGCTTTTGACGCTTCGTCATTTCACAACTTTATAAAGTATTACGTTCTATAACTTCAGTAAATTATTCGTGTGTATATGTATACATTTGCGTGCTGTTTAACCAGAATACTTGCTCACATTTGTTTGTGTTTTCATTTTCAATGACTTACTTGTTTGATGTCAAATTTAAGAACTGCCTTCATAAATGCCGGAAGACTGGTGAGAAGTGTGTAATTGGTCCAATTACTACATACGTGAGCTGTAAGACACGCCCACACTGCACGTGACTTTACCATGTCTCTCCAAGGCACTTTAGCTGTCTGTAAAACAATTTCATATTTAGCTGATGGGAATGAAAGGAAAGGTAAATATACAGTAGAAACGTACATAACAGTATGTCGATAGTCGACAGAATTTTAAGCACGATGAAAGTGAGTGAAATTTTCCTGTGAGAAAACCCGTTACCCCGTCAATTCTTTCAGAAGAAATAAGAGTACATATCTATCTGGAAAATTATATGATCACCTCCAGGTACAAAATGGACATTTCCATACTCAAATAGAAAAACATTGAACAAATGAGAGATATTGACTATGCAAATAAGTCTGAAAAAGGAAGTCGATTATTAGGTAAAAATGATAAAAAAATGATATTAAAAATGCATTTATCCATCATTACCTTGACTAATGTGTTGTACTCAGTAATGTTTACAGTGTAACGGGTCTATCATTACCCTGACTGTTGTGTTGTACCCAGTAATGTTTACAGTGTAACGGGTCTATCATTACCCTGACTGTTGTGTTGTACCCAGTAATGTTTACAGTGTAACGGGTCTATCATTACCCTGACTGTTGTGTTGTACTCAGTAATGTTTACAGTGTAACGGGTCTATCATTACCCTGACTGTTGTGTTGTACTCAGTAATGTTTACAGTGTAACGGGTCCACCATTACCCTGACTGTTGTGTTGTACTCAGTAATGTTTACAGTGTAACGGGTCCATCATTACCCTGACTGTTGTGTTGTACTCAGTAATGTTTACAGTGTAACGGTTCCATCATTACCCTGACTGTTGTGTTGTACCCAGTAATGTTTACAGTGTAACGGTTCCATCATTACCCTGACTGTTGTGTTGTACTCAGTAATGTTTACAGTGTAACTTTGATACGGGTCCATCATTACCCTGACTGTTGTGTTGTACTCAGTAATGTATACAGTGTAACTTTGATACGGGTCCATGATTACCCTGACTGTTGTGTTGTACTCGATATGAGACACAATGTACTCTCGTTCTACAGCTGAAATCCGTCTGTGTTCCTGTGGCGAGTCTGCCACCATAAAAAACCACAACAGGACCCAGAGAAACGTCATACCACCTAAAAATATCAGCTATAATTGAGTGCAATTGAATAAATAAATCTAGTCAATTCAAGAATATTGATTAAATGATAAAATAGCCTTAATGTCTATGCTAACAATTATCAGTTTTCCATGCAGTGATAATTACTTTGTGTCATTGAAATGATAAAAAAATATCATACATGTAATTTACAGTTTAAGAATTAAGAACATTAACATTAGAGACCTACATTGGCGTTGAAAAGAGCACTATATAGTTACGATTACTGAAGCGACACTTTCATTAAAATGTTTAAAAATTGATAATTGAATTAAAACACTGACAAAGACTATATCTATAACTTATACTATACTAGACGCAAAAACATATCTCACCTGTCACGTAGAAGATTGATCCCCATCCGTTATCGAAGCCGTAGTCGCATAACACTCCAGATAACGAAAAGGTAGCGACATTTCCAACCATTGTACCTATACAAGGCAATTTGTAATGCATTGTGTTAACATTTGTTTTTCGACATTAGAACGTCTTATTTCCTACATGTATGAACATTTGAAGATGTTTGGTATTTTAGAATGCAGTGACATAATCATTTTGTAAAAACTCAAAAAATAACAACAAAACTGACATTAATGCACCTTATCAGAACAGAACTGACCACAACGGACTTTATCAAAACAAAACGGAAAACAATGGACTTTAACACAACAGAACTGACAACAATGGACTTCAACACAACAGAACTGACAACAATGGACTGCTTCGTCATAACAGAACTTACAACAATGAACTTTATCAGAATAGAACTTGTACAATGGACTTTAACACAAGAGAACTGACAACAATGGACTTTAACACAAGAGAACTGACAACAATGGACTTTAACACAAGAGAACTGACAACAATGGACTTTAACACAATAGAACTGACAACAATGGACTTTAACACAACAGAACTGACAACAATGGACTTTAGCACAAGAGAACTGACTTGTACAATGGACTTTAACACAATAGAACTGGCAACAATGGACTTTAACACAACAGAACTGACAACAATGGACTGCTTCGTCATAACAGAACTGACAACAATGGACTTTAGCACAAGAGAACTGACTTGTACAATGGACTTTAACACAAGAGAACTGACAACAATGGACTTTAACACAACAGAACTGACAACAATGGACTTCAACACAACAGAACTGACAACAATGGACTTCAACACAACAGAACTGACAACAATGGACTGCTTCGTCATAACAGAACTTACAACAATGAACTTTATCAGAATAGAACTTGTACAATGGACTTTAACACAAGAGAACTGACAACAATGGACTTTAACACAAGAGAACTGACAACAATGGACTTTAACACAAGAGAACTGACAACAATGGACTTTAACACAATAGAACTGACAACAATGGACTTTAACACAACAGAACTGACAACAATGGACTTAAACACAAGAGAACTGACAACAATGGACTTTAACACAATAGAACTGACAACAATGGACTTTAACACAACAGAACTGACAACAATGGACTGCTTCGTCATAACAGAACTGACAACAATGGACTTTAGCACAAGAGAACTGACTTGTACAATGGACTTTAACACAAGAGAACTGACAACAATGGACTTTAACACAACAGAACTGACAACAATGGACTTTATCAGAACAGAACTTGTACAATGGACTTTAACACAATAGAACTGGCAAGAATGGACTTTAACACAAGAGAACTGACAACAATGGACTTCAACACAACAGAACTGACAACAATGGACTTTAACACAATAGAACTGACAACAATGGACTTTAACACAACAGAACTGACAACAATGGACTTTAACACAACAGAACTGACAACAATGGACTGCTTCGTCATAACAGAACTGACAACAATGAACTTTATCAGAATAGAACTTGTACAATGGACTTTAACACAAGAGAACTGACAACAATGGACTTTAGCACAAGAGAACTGACAACAATGGACTTTAACACAAGAGAACTGACAACAATGGACTTTAACACAATAGAACTGACAACAATGGACTTTAACACAACAGAACTGACAACAATGGACTTTAGCACAAGAGAACTGACTTGTACAATGGACTTTAACACAATAGAACTGGCAACAATGGACTTTAACACAACAGAACTGACAACAATGGACTGCTTCGTCATAACAGAACTGACAACAATGGACTTTAGCACAAGAGAACTGACTTGTACAATGGACTTTAACACAAGAGAACTGACAACAATGGACTTTAACACAACAGAACTGACAACAATGGACTTCAACACAACAGAACTGACAACAATGGACTTCAACACAACAGAACTGACAACAATGGACTGCTTCGTCATAACAGAACTTACAACAATGAACTTTATCAGAATAGAACTTGTACAATGGACTTTAACACAAGAGAACTGACAACAATGGACTTTAACACAAGAGAACTGACAACAATGGACTTTAACACAAGAGAACTGACAACAATGGACTTTAACACAATAGAACTGACAACAATGGACTTTAACACAACAGAACTGACAACAATGGACTTAAACACAAGAGAACTGACAACAATGGACTTTAACACAATAGAACTGACAACAATGGACTTTAACACAACAGAACTGACAACAATGGACTGCTTCGTCATAACAGAACTGACAACAATGGACTTTAGCACAAGAGAACTGACTTGTACAATGGACTTTAACACAAGAGAACTGACAACAATGGACTTTAACACAACAGAACTGACAACAATGGACTTTATCAGAACAGAACTTGTACAATGGACTTTAACACAATAGAACTGGCAAGAATGGACTTTAACACAAGAGAACTGACAACAATGGACTTCAACACAACAGAACTGACAACAATGGACTTTAACACAATAGAACTGACAACAATGGACTTTAACACAACAGAACTGACAACAATGGACTTTAACACAACAGAACTGACAACAATGGACTGCTTCGTCATAACAGAACTGACAACAATGAACTTTATCAGAATAGAACTTGTACAATGGACTTTAACACAAGAGAACTGACAATAATGGACTTTAGCACAAGAGAACTGACAACAATGGACTTTAACACAAGAGAACTGACAACAATGGACTTTAACACAAGAGAACTGACAACAATGGACTTTATCAGAACAGAACTTGTACAATGGACTTTAACACAATAGAACTGGCAAGAATGGACTTTAACACAAGAGAACTGACAACAATGGACTGCTTCGTCATAACAGAACTTAAAACAATGGACTTTAACACAAGAGAACTGACAACAATGGACTTTAACACAAGAGAACTGACAACAATGGACTTTAACACAATAGAACTGGCAAGAATGGACGTCATCATATCATAACCGACAACAATTGATTTCATCATTACAAAACGACAACAATGAGCTTTATCACAACAACCTAGCCACTATTTGAATCAATTATAATGTGCCTTGCTGGTTAATGCAAACCTTTGAAACATAAAGTCCACCAGCAATGAGTACAGTGTCTAGCAGAGAAAACAATATTATTAAGGACACATATTAATTGTCTAAATGAACTTGTCTTGGTATCGTCTGGGATACTTGGTAGCCGAAGACGTGTTCTTAATACAGTATTAGAAAACAATACAAGATACATATTGCAACATGTGAGACAAGTATGCCTTTCAATAACACCTGGAGGGAGGGAAGAGCGTAATACTGACTTACCTAAATAAGCTACGGAAACTAGTTTGCTGCGTTCTAAAGGCGGTGCCCATCTCCCCAATATTGACTGCATTGCTGGAAAAGATACACCCTGCAAAAGATGTACCTATAAGTGATCTTGTCAGTTTTTAATAGTCGATGATTGCTTGTAGTAGCAAGTAACAACATCACAGAAAATCATTCCAGAGGCTCGCCGTCTGCTTTCCACCGTAATTATAAAGCATTTTATCCAAGAACACAATCCTAACAGAATTGTTTTGAACAATTGGATTTTACATTACAAAAATGTAAGATGTTATTTATCATATAATCCGTATTTCTGGAAACTTCTTGCGGCGCTAAAGACATGTTTTTCTCTACTGTGACAATCATGTGACGTCATCAAGACGAAGTTTTATTATTCACGTATATTCGTGATATGATCGTTTGACATAAGACAACTGGCCGGTTATGTAATAACTTCCACTTAAGGATAAGTCATAGACAGCTTAAGTGCAACTGGAGGACTGGCAAGGTTTTTCTTTTTATCCAGAGACATTCTGTTCATCTTTGCCTTGTGTGTAGTTTTTTTAAACTTACTGTGACGAGGCCAAGCAATACGCGTAAGACGTAGACAAGTAGCATTGATGTTCTGGCACAAACTGGCGTGAGAAGTGTACAAAAGGAGGCAATCAACAAGGCATACCCCAGCACGCGCCTCCCACCAAACCTATCAGAGAACCAGCCACCGATGATCTGGGTACAAATGTATCCATAGAAAAAGGACGCCAACATAGTCGATCGAATGTTTTTATCCCAGTCAAACTCAGCATGCTGTTTCGTGTAACCAAGAATAGACAGAAACATCAATATGCAATATTCCTTTAATGTAATAAAACATATTTGAAATGTTTGTCTTCCTATTTTCATGGCTTAAATACATTGTGATGTCATACATGTTAGTATACATTGTACAATTGTCATAGCAGTCAGAACGTATTTTCTGAACTAATCTGTCTGATGTAAAAGGGATTCTGTTTATTGCTATCTGTCTAATATGAGTTATCGATAATAAACATTTTCTAAATAATAATAAACATCACCTGTACCTCTGAATACAATCGTGAAGATGGCAGTGTCAAATGTCGAGGTCCTTTATAATTTACTCTCAACGGTTATAACCGCCATAAGATAAAAACCATAAAGATTTTCTTTTTCCTTGACCTTACTGTCAAATGTCCAAAAATGAATGGGTAAACACACATGTGCTGTCCCGAAAACATTGCGAGTTCCGAATCATTTTGGATATCAGGATTTCGGTAAGATGTTGTCCTTTGACCTCTATCTAACCAATGTACCACCACTACGTCAATAAAATAACGACAAAATATCAAAAAACTTATTTCTATAACAAAACATCTGTTCGGGCCAAATCAATCATGATTTGCTTTGATGAAGGATTTACCTCATCACTTCGGACGTTTGCAGCCTCTTCAACACATATGCCGACATCTGACTGGTTAACCAGTATGGACCCATTAGTGGGGACATCCGAAGATTTTACCATACAAACAATGGCCACGCTGAAGTTCACGCGGACGGCGTATACACAAACAAACCCGAGAAAGGCGATGTAAGCCAGCAGCCATCTCTGAGAACAAATGCATGGGACAGCTGCTGAAAATAAACGAGTTCGTGGATCATTTACAAACACTATAAACAATGTTTGGTAAATGATAAAACGAATTCCTATCATAGACCTGGGGATTGACTGAAGGTGGTCGATTTTTCATTTTGCACTTCTGAATGATGTTATCGTAAAATTCTCAATAGGAATAGGCCAACATGTAAAGCCTGTGAAAGCCGTTCTCGGTAGAAAACAGAAAACAACAGAATACTCACACTAAATTGAGTGTAAAAACATACATATATGAAACCAGGTATCTGCATAACAGTATGAGGATGGCTTGGAATTATGATAAACATGAGTACTTATCATAGTGATCACTAATTTCTGATTTTAAAGATTAAAGAGGTTAACATGAATGTCTTTCTGGTATTCAGACTTGATCTTGCGGCCGGTACAGCCAAATTGTCCATACATTTACCAGTCTGTGTCTGTCCTTCCCAGACAGTTGACAATACCACCAAGACTTGCGGCAATAATGATACAAGAACCAGAATTAAATAAAAGCGATTATTATCAATGATGAAACCCTGAACTAACCTCAATAATGACTTAATCACTTTGTTCTTATTTCACTCTGAAAAAAACTTTTATATGGACATAGAATATTATAGTGGTGATTCTGTCCTATCTCAAGTGCATTTTTACGTTTCGTTTTCTCATTAGTCTCAATACTTAATTCTGTACTTAAAGATATTGTTATGTAATCACTATATCAAATTATAGATCAAGAAGAAAGGACGTTCTCCCAATGTGTTACCATCATATATACATATCATAGGAGAGATATATTGATTAAATATTTTCGGGCTGTATCATTGACTAGAAACGTTTTCCTGCGCCAGATGTTTACAGGTGAAAATTGACAACACCACTTATATATATATATAGAAACAATAACATGGCAAATAAAGTCGTATGAAATCGCTGCTAACGTTTTCCGGTCTTGTAACCATCTTCATGGCCGAAAAAAGGTTAGCGGTGATTTCATACCATTTTATTGGCCATTAATGTTGATTTTCTATATATATGCTACACAAAGTTTTTATCTTTTTTGAATTATATATATATATCTATACCTGATACAGACTACTGTGTCTGAACAAATGGCGCCTATTTCACTAGCTTAAATACGGAACATTAACTACTGTAGCACTGAATAAGATGCCTGGAATCAAACAGAACATGACTCCTGTTATCCTGATGTATCACTCCCACAAAATAATTGATGTTGGTATATTTTTATCATATCATTTGATCAGTAATCTTACCTGTTTTCGTTCTTGGTAGATTTTCAGATCGATTTCCATGTTGATATTTAGGTAAAAAGTCTGTGCGCTCATCGATACGGTTCATTTTCCTACACACATGAAATGTTTTAAGTATTAAAGTACATTTTATCTATCGAATCTGTTTGTTATACGGTCTCTGATTCGTGCGATCCTTGACACGTATACAAAGTATGCCAACATAAGTGTGACGACAACATCACGGTTAATGGTTTTATATAGTAGTTTAACATTTTTTTGGAAATCATTAAGCAGGCGAAAGGCTTGAGAGACAGCCTATGTTAAATATAGTAATACATAGGTATATCACTGGTATGGTCGAATTTATTAGCACTCTTTCTGGTAGTACCTGGACAGCTTCAGTATATGATGTTCGCTAAAATATCAGCCTCCTGCAGTAAAGTACTGTCACACTGCCATCTAGGTCGTTAGAAATCGATATCAGTTGCATGACTTGTTTCTATATTGAATAAATACTGCTTATTTTTGATAAGATCGCGTTTGTGCAATAAAAACAGATCAGCGTCCCTGAGTGGTAAAAAACAGAAATAAAAGTCGCACGTTTAAAAAACAGTACACTACTCAAATAAACGTATTGTTACACCGTTGATGAACCGTTTTATTCTACACATAGAGAAGAGTTAAAATTAATTTAGCGAAATCCTTCAGTTATAATTCAACGTTAATCATGTAAATAAATATAATTGCTTTCAGCATGTTAGGAAAGTTATCAATACTTTCATTTACCTTTAAAAAGAATTCCTATAAAATGTCATCGTATAGTGAACAGATAATAAACAGGTGTTTTTTTATCTTTTACACATTCAGGTAACAGTGCATACATAGCCCACCTCGTACTAGTACAGAGTACACATAACCTCTCTTATACCGGTACAGTGTACACATAACCTCTCTTATACCGGTACAGTGTACACATAACCTCTCTTATACCGGTACAGTGTACACATAACCTCCATTATACCGGTAAAGTGTATACATAACCTCCCAATAACCGGTACAGTGTACACATAACCTCTCTTATACCGGTACAATGTACACATAACCTCCCTTAGACTTGTTAAGTGTACTCAGATATTTCAATTGCGAAAATAGAATCTTATTGTCCAGCCAACGGCCTTGTAATGTCGTAAGTACATGTAATTTAACAAGTCGGAGACGCACATTTCTTGCTGTATCATCATTAATAACTCTTGTTCCACAGTCACGGTGAATAAGTAGTCCATGATATTATAACTTACATTCCTGTCTGCTGTATATTATAAAAATAAACTTCGGTATTCAATGATGAAAAAAGGACCCAAGGATGCGCATTCCTCTAACATTATAATAAATGACCCTGGTTCCGTAAAAAAAGGTTGAAAAAAGGACCCGAATATATCATAACGAACATTCTCTGCATTAATAACGAACAAATAACAGAACATAAACAATATCGGCCTACTTGCTCTCCTGGTTGGGTAATTACCGCTTTATACCTAAAACAAAACTCATTAGAACATATAGATATTTGAAATATATTTTTGTCCAATCGACCTCATGGAACTATTTTAATGTGTTTTCATATTCATATGGTCTGTTAATTCCTCCTTTCATGGTAACTCTTTATTTCTGTTGATAAATCCTTAACACGATATTCAATGTTAATATTTCTTTTATCACTATTGTATACTTTTCATTTACACAGATTACTACAATGATAAGTTAGGTGAAAAGTCAATATGTAGGTCAACAAAGGTCACAGGTCAAATAATCAATATCAATTAATATTGTATCTTTTCATTAGCACATCTTACTGCAATTTAAATTTATGCCAAAATTGCCTCAAAGATCAATGTTTGGAGCCAAGAAAGTTAGGCCGATTCCATCTTTATCGTTGATATTTGACGTCGGCTTCATTCTTTTGTTTCGATGTCGATAAATCCTATGTAATATTTGCGAGGAATGTCAATTATAGTTGATATATCAACACTCCACTATTTTTCTCCGAATGTATCCGTTCTGCAATAACTCCACAGTGACTTTTTTGCATCTAACTTTTTTTTCCGTTTCCCTGACTTTACATTCGCTGTATTCCTTAGATATTTTGTAACCACCCAAAATATATTACGGTATCATATTTTACTTATACTTTGACGTAAGATGCAAAGTCATTTTCTTTTTACTCTTTTAACACGCCGCCATTTCGTGATCAAATACATTGTATGTGTCAAAATATATACCGTTGTCCTGTTAACCGTATTTCTAGCAAAGCTCTGTCATATAATAGAGCAAAAGGCATTAATAGCATTCATTGAAAATTTTCTACGATGAAATTAAAAAATTGCTTGTTTACATTTAATATTGCATAAAGTCATTAACAAGTCATCCATACTATTAAACGCTTTAATGGCAATATCTTCTTGGTTAAATTAATGACATAACACACGGCTTTGGATAGGATTGTACATCAAGACAGTCATAATTGATGAAAACTTTAATGTTTCAAGAATGTCGTTAAACGATGTTAGTGAGAAAACATCAAAGTTATTAGTTTGTCCACAGTAGCAATATATGCTATATAGGATTATAACACATACAGAAACATATCGATATGTATGTAAAATGTTGACTTAAATTAAAAATTCATGAAACGAAGGCAAGATATGAAATTTACACGCAAACCGTTGAAAAAATGAAAAAAAAAATCAATGATCTACTTAAATTATTTACACGTAAGAAATACAGGGTATATTCATATATACACAAGGTACGAGATCTCCTAAATGATAAATACATATCAATAAAATTTGCCTGAAATATATTTCCCCAGATATTTGTTATATACCTGTAAGATATGCGATCTCCATAACATATACATAATGATAAAAGATAGTTTATTAAAGTGTCACATGTTGATCGACAGTAAAATAATAGTAACAGTTGTAAAATATACAAGTAAAAGCGATCAATATCTAGCCATAATTGTTTGATTTATGAGACACTGAAATTCTTAATACATTTTAAAATTATTCTATTTTTACACTGGGTCTTAGAGTAACACATATTATTGCAAATATTGAATCCTATGATAGAAATAGATATTTTAATGATAAAAGAAAGTAAGTAGTAGACTACTGTAAGCATCTAAGTGTATTCAGCGATTCGAATGGTAGTGGAGCTGCATAATTGAAAATATCAGTTAAACAGTAACTAAACAATTACGAGACAACCGTAAATAGAAAAAAAATATCCTTAATAGAAGTACACTATATCTAATGTAAAGATCCATTAATATTTTGAAGAACTTTGGGATGGTTGTAACATTGCTGAGGAAGAACTTTGGGATGGTTGTAACATCGCTGAGGAAGAACTTTGGGATGGTTGTAACATTGCTGAGGAAGAACTTTTACAAAAACCACAAACTTGAACCTAGACGTGTTATCATTATTCTATCCTTTCAGGTGCCGGATGGGAGAAAATGTGTATAGACCATATTTGTAATGATAACATTGAGACGCGAATTTTGATTGGCCGACCAAACATCGGTTGTTGCTAAGGCTACTGAGCACACAAATGAAGCGATTGAAACGTGTTGGATTGAAGACGAATGGTTACTACCTAACTGATGTAATACTTTATCTTGTATCTCGATGAGTTATCTCAAATGTTAGAGAGATTGTTGTTTGCCGGGATGTTATAAATGTCCGGCCTACCCTACTACATATCACATGTATCGATCTACAGATCTATGTCAGATACGTCTCTAACTACTAGGCTTATTATTCTATGTAATGAACTTGATATGACCTTAAGATGCGTCGGAACACCAAATACATCATCATTCGTTTGTCTTCTTGTATATACATATATTCTGTAGTAACTGTTTGTTTAATTATTTTATATATTTGACCTTAATACAACCAGGTCAAGGTAATTGATTCAAACAATACGGTTTTCAGCTAATGCCCATAATATTGTTGAGAAATGTTTAATATTTAAATGTTTTTTAAGACATATGAAGAAGTAGTTTCAAATCTATATCCAAATACATTGCTGTTTCAAAAACCTTATCCTTCTCTACTTTCACTGTAATCTAATTCTAGTGTGATAAGATTTAATGAAGGTTCCAATTTCTGATATACATTGGAATACTTCTATACCATTTGACGATTACCGGTAAAAGCATATTCAAAGCGAACATAAGTACATGACTTAGACATGTAGCATAACATTTAGTGGAGATACAAAAAAAATAAATTTTATTTTTAAATTCAAGTACAAGCGATTCATCTCAATCCAAACTGCAGTATGCATTAAAACATGCTATCAAGTGACAATCTAAAAGATAAAAAAACTGTCAAGGATAATTAATTGGGCCATATGATTGCTGAATGTCGCTTGAAAGTCAAACCAGTGACATTGTAACCTGCTGAAATATTAAGGTAAACCATTGAAAATTGATTTCAGCTATCAAATACATAAATGACTTGAAATGTGTTCGTACTCTAAGATTCATTCAAAAACTGATTGGCGAAATACCAGGTTAAAAAAAAAATATCCAGACATACGATCTCAAATTTGTTCATCTGAAATGATCGACATGTGTATCGGACATGTGACTGCAGTTAAGTTTCTGACGACATCACTAAATCACTGAGACGCTTGAGTTGGATTAGTGTGACCCAGAAGTACACATGTATTACATAAAATCAGCATATGAAAGGAAATGACATTTCGATGAAAATAGAAATAAAAATATATTTTTGAAAGGGATACATTAAAGTTTTTATTGTATTGATCTGATATTTGGTCTATAGCATATACGGATGAAGGGCTGCCAAGTTTATTTTAGTGAATGATATTGACCTATTAAACTATTATCCTATATAAACATGAGGCCCGCCCGGACACTTGATTTTGACTTTCATACGAGGTCATACAGCTTTAGGGGTCATATGTTTAACTCTTCAAACAATTTTTTCTCATTATAAAGGAGACACAAAGATTTAATGTTTGGCCTCGTATAACCTTGACATTAATTCAAGTAACAGAGGTCATGTATACTGAAATCTTAAAATTACTTTTCTCAATGACTAGTGCCCGGCCTAGAAACTTTATATTTGGCCTGTAGCATGCTGAGGTGAAGGGCTTGTAAGTTTGTTCAAACGAATGACATTGATCCTCATTCAACATCACAGGGTTCAGATATACTAAAATCTTTTAACAACTTCTTTATAACAAAGAGGCTTTGGTTACATTTTTGTGTATGAAAAATTATTAACCTAATCTGTCTAGTAACAAAACGAATGTGAACAAGTAGGGGGTCACCTGTCTGACCATGTGGTTTTTCTCTAGTTTTCTCCCACTTTTAGACTCCTCATATGCCTTACACCCGACAAAACAAGAGTGGGACATGATTAAACAATTATGGTTTCCCTGAGCAACAGCAATTTTCAAACCTCTTTCCAAGTTCCAAAAGTGGATTTGAGCTTATAATATGCTTGAAATGATCCCTGAAATGGTCCTGACCATGAGTTGTTATATTTTGAGTTGGCTTGAAATCCAATATCGCCCCCATGGCCGCCATCTTAATAAACACAGTTTCAAACTTCTGAATTTCACTGGTACCATGAAGTTGAAATTTTGATAAGAACGAGGAGTCATTTTCGCCTTAATAACTTAATATTCTAACTACTACTACTATGCAGTTATATCCTATAAAGATCTTTATAGTCATATAACTTTTAAGGATATGGGCCTCTTGTTTGACAGCCCATGGGTAAAATGCTACAAAAAGAATCATCCTTTACACATCAATAAGGCTAAGGGCATATTTGACCAGGGGCAATGTTGTATTGAAGAATTATCAAGCTCAGCTGAATGATTCTGACCCACTGTCACAGGGGTCAGATTATAGATTTTTACCAAATTGGGGAAATGTTACAGTTGTATATGGTATGCATAATACTTTTGAAATATTCAATAGATGTTTAAACTAATCAATATTTCAACATCATCAATTTACCTCTTGACAATAAACAAAACGCCCAGGATATTCACGCAAAGGTATTCTCCTGCAACATAGAGAGCAATGATTTGTTGATTTCTTACTGTGAAATATAAATGTGTTACGGCTAAATAACTGACTGAAATCAAAACTTCATATATGTACTTGCGATATTCAAAGAGAAGTTAACAGGTAAACCAAGTCAAAGACCAAGGTAACATTTTAACTAGAATGTATGATATTGACAAATATTTTGTTGTACAATGTTTACCTAAAGCTCGCCAGAACCAAGTTATCATAAGTTGTAGATGAATGTTTAAAAATTTTACAGTGATATTAGGATTTCAGAAAGAGATCAATTTGTTTTAATGCTTTCGTTGTTTACAGTCTGTTTAATTTGTTGTACTTAATTTGCTGTGATGTCCTGTTAAGTTACTTTTTTTAATCAAATAGTGTAGCATTTTAATGATGCCCTTTGTCATACAGTACTTATTAAATATTCAACCTGTTAATTTGATTTTCTTGATAAATAAAGGCTTTTGAAAGATTATGTCAAAATCCGATAATAATGGCTATTTTACATCTATATTCTGGTGTATGATATCTGATATTTGGCATATAAAATTGACCTATTGTGAAAACAAATCATATCCCTATTATTTTGAGTGAGTGTCATTAATTATGGTAAAACAATTGTTTCACACACCCTTTCCTGATCATATGTGCTCACAACATAGACGATATACAATATAATGAAATTATTGATTCTCATCCAAATGTTCAACAGCAATGCTAAGGCATTTAATAATTTGAAAATTTGAAAATTTGAAAAGTAGAAAATAAACATTACTTTTGCATATGTAGGGTGTGAATACTGTAAAAGCATATTTTTTAGGGGGTTCAATTTCATGCTTCTTTTCAAAATATAACTATTTTGTGGACGTTTGATTTCATGGATAAACATAGTTTTATAAATGTATATAAAGTAATTGTTCATGAACATATCAATGCGTGGATAAAGAGTACCCAGGAAAACAACGAAAATTAATCTCCCATGAAAATTTATGATTTTTCAGCATCTGAGCCAGTACCTGTACCGTAATTCTTATCCGTAAATGCTATACACTTACATTTGTGATGTACACGTACAATAATTTAAGCTGCCTTTTTCTAACCAAGTGATTTAATTATTCATCACATTAAATTTCAATCGGAGACATATTGTTGTGGTGTATATCACAACAATGACTTAAAGTTCCTCAGTCATTATCAGTGAAGTCTTCAAAATGAGGTCAAGAAAAAAGGTGTGTTAGAATTGTAATTGATATTCAGACCGAAATGACCTTTTTTGTTAACCTGCTATACCATGCTGATTACATACGTCAACATAGCTAGATCTCTTTACCATCATTTCATCTTTAATAAATTGTTCAATAAGCTTTTATATAAATATCACCCTATCGGTTACTCTTTTCACTAGAATAAATCTAGAAATAGGAAACATGTATGATGCTTCTAACAGATTTTAATGAGATAGCAATCATATAAACAAGTATCAGATTCTAGCTTAATGACTGTTAGAAGTAGGACATACATAAGTATACCGTAAATGTGATCATATGAACTACTATGGCTTTTAAGGCAAAGGACATTCACAAACAGTAAGCTTTAAACTAACTGGTTTGAATTTGTTCATAATGACAAAGTAGCAACCGTGTTGTCATATAGAGAAATGTTAAGACTTTTAAATTTGGAAATCAACTTTTTTTTTTAAATCATACACATCTTCTCTCACCTTCTTATTGTATGTATATCAATTGTTTTGATTTTTTGTAGTGTCATATGCTGTGGAAATGAGGCAAGTAATTTCACATCCATGCAAGGCATTCACAGACAAATATCTGCAAATCATGTTTTGATGTAATGTATGGATGGGAGGATTGTGTTTGGGGATGACCTGGTTTATCTGATCGAGAGATGGAGACCCACGTTCTACGACAAGTTTATCTGGTAATTACTTTACACAACATGTGTAATTACGAACATGAAATGTCTATATCCAATATCCATTTAGATATGTTAGAAGTTCAGATAAAAGGATTTTTAAATTGTTGTTTTAGGTTGTTAAAACTTTTACCTTGGTAGATCTATAATTGTCGAATCCTTCCGGTCTTGTTGTGATCTTTGTCATCAGGCTTTGTTGATGAAAATACAACAGCTTTGGTTTCGGCTTTGAAATTAGAGGACGCTTAAAGGCAAGAAAAGAAGAACAGATAAACTTACAAATATAACTGAAAAACCTTAAATAAAGATATGCATTTCCGGATACAAATTAAGATGTTATTTGTCCGAATGTTACTACACCAATATTACAACACATCAGAAACTGGTATAGCGACAAGAGAAATTCTTTCACAAGCTCTTGGAAGTACAGCCATAGAAACCTTGACTGAAACCTGTTCTATGTTTGATATTTATAAGCGAGATGTTACATATTCTTGCCCTTTTATTTGTTTATTTGAATAATGAAAACAAAATAGTTGTAATCAAATTATGACTATATTCATTATCGAAGACATACGTATGTTGATGCAATTCAAAATAAATTAAGATGGAATGTTAAACACGAGATAGGCGATAGGGAAGATAGCCATACGAAGACAGCGTGACTTCTGTCCTAAATAGAAATGTCACCATGTTAGGGATTGCTATCAGTAGACACCACTAGTACCAAAACTATGTAAACCTGTCCCAAATAAAATGTTACATCAATCTATTTCAAACCTATTACTCTAAGGATGATGGACAATACCGTACTTAACAAGTGATAGTTGTGGATATCTATGTGTGTGGAAGATCATATCATACTGTCATGAGTGACCATAAAAAGACTGACGATGGTAAGAAAAAAATTAATTCTACAACTTGACCTTTTTATAATTAGATATAGATTTGTAAACCATACTTTGATATTAATTAAAAATTAGTGACAATTGTTGAAAAATGATAATCTTTTATATCATAGTCTGGCTACTACAACAACCAATTAGTAATGTCTATCCGTATTATTGAAAAATCAACAGGTTAATAGGTTTATTGTTTTAACCCTTCTCACTTAACATAAAAAAAACAAATTGTGATAATATAATATAAAGTTCATCATAAATTTTCTGTAACATTGATATGCAAACTAGAGACGAAACAAACACAGGTCTAATATACATTAATCACAAATTCTAAACATAATTATCGGGATCTCCTTTGGAATGGTATGAACAAACTTGTTTATTGATATAGAATGTAAACCTTTGATATATTCTCTAAGTCACATTCACAGAAAAATCCTATCGTTAGAAAAATTGATAGTGACTGTGATTCACATTACACCAGAATCTTTACACCATGTGCTTAATAATAAATGTACTATAAAGCCCAACATATTATCCTATTGTATCGCGTTGTAACATTAGTTTGGGCTTATGTTAAACTAAGGTATATGATACATACACCTGTAATCATCTTATTTTTGGCTTTTTCCATTTTCTGAGACATGTTTGTTTGTAATGCAACTCAAAAACACATGTTATGTTTTATATGTTTAGTTTGGTAAGGCGATCACTGAACACGACTGTTTCTGTCAGTCTCAACAGTCAAAGAAAGCAATTAGCTGTTAGTGTTACAACCGTCTGCATTCTTCATTGATAATACTCTTTTAAACAGGATTTTAATTCAATTTCTTTCTCCAGTAACTTTCCTTATCATTTAACTGCCTCACTTTTCTTCGTGAACATGGTCTTATTTACTTAGCAAGCATCACCTTATTTTCCTGGTACGTTTCCCCTTAAAAAGTAATGCCAGGCTATTAAGCAATAGAAAGGATTACATTTATATGTTTTAAGTCTTTCACAAGACAATACGTTCCAACCTTAATCACTTTTATGAAGTTTTTCGAACTCTAATCTAAACAGTTTATTTATGAGGAATCAAAAGATGAACAAGAATTTAATGGGGAACTGTTATGGTCTAACTCTCATCAATTTTTATCAAGCTGTCCGGACTCCAAACTCTCATCTAAACTAAAATATTTGTGAGGAGTGAAAAAATTTACCAGACTGAATTTACTGGGAAGCAGTCACTGTCCAACTGTCATCAAGTTATATCAAGCTGTCGGACCTCCAAACTTTCATCTAAACTGTATATTTATCAGGAATGAGAAGATCGCCAAAATACTGGTTTTTCTGTGGAACAGTGTGCTCCATCCTTTATTAGCAGCGACAATACGCTGAGAACAACATATCTAACAAAGTTCAATCCCACCGAAAACATATTGATAAATCTTCAATTGGTCAACATCGAACAGAAGAAGTCAGAAACAAACACCACTTCTTGCTATTTGATAAAATAATGTGGTAAATGTTTGTAAGAATACTAAGCAGCGAGATAATTAAAATGTCATTTGTTCCCCAGATAACACTTTAACTTCTGGTTCACCCTAAGTCTACGAGATAAACAGTTTATATAATGACCGATAACCACCAGCAGACAAACTGGATATCATTCGATACCATGTTCACCTGGTTAAAATTGCTACTTATATCTCAGATTTTGTCACCTACTTAAGAATGTGTATATCTCAGATATGGGCTCGTGATCTAGATTGTTATTTATACCCTCGACCTGGTCACTTTTCCAAAACGGTTTTATTTCACACTTAGTCACGTGACTAAAATCATTGTTGACAATACATGTTACTTGGCTAACAACAATGGTCATGTGACCAAAAATGCTGTTGATATCTGGTGATCTAGACAAAACTGTCTTTTTCAGACCTGAACACAAGACCGAGCTTGCTACTGAAATCTCAGACCTGGTCACCAAAGATTGTTGATATCTTGGACCTGGTCACCTGACTAAGACGTTGATATCTTAGACTTGGACTTCTAAGATTGTTGTTGATGTATCAGACCAATTTCATCTGGCTATAATTGTTGATATATCAGACATAGACATATCGCGATGACTGTACCAGTATCTGTAATATACTGTTGTTTGTATCGCGGACCTAATCCTGTTACCTTGTTATCTAAGACCTATTAAACAACTGCATGGGTTTGCCAACATTATATCGACCAATACATAATAAGAGTGATGATGAAGTTTAGTTTGATGATAAGATTCACTTTACATGTGTAGAAATAACTTTTGAAGACTCATCTTATGATTTGCCAATAAATATAACCGAGTAAGGTAGATTATAAATATGTTATTGATAATCACGTTCCATTGCAAGCGAAATCTGCTGGACCTTTGACCAAGATGGCATCATTATGTATCAGCATGCTACTGCGGGTCAGGTGTACTCTAATTAATACAGGAACGTGTGTAAACATACAACATCACTTTGTACATTGTATGATGATATGGATAAAAAACACATTTTGACATATAAATATATCGTATCAAGATGAGTGATATTGAAGAAAGCTTCTTACCAAAAGATCGAAATGAAAGTCGATCGAGAACGTTTAAAGGTAAGTCCATACGATACATTTAACAATTTCATCAAAATTACATTTATAATTAGATTATGAAAATATTCTATCAACTCGATCTTTGTTCTCAGCGAGACTTGCTCGATAACCAATGAAACATTACCTATCCATAACAAACTTTGTCAAAAGAAGCTGAGCATCCTTCATAATTACGATCTTTCATATCACTGGTAAATGATAAATATACTGACCTTTCCCATTGAACTTTGATCTCTAGACATTTCAAACGTCCATATTAACAAATTTGTATTGCTGACTGGTCTAGTTGTTCAACCCCTTTTTTATTCCAGCTTGCCGCTATTATTCTCAGTGCTAAAATATTAGGAATACAATTTAGTTATTATTTGAAAAAACGGTCATGGATGAAATGAAGATTTTGATAATCCCCAAACCGTCTTATATCAGTCTTGAACATTAGGTTTTGAAAAATATCTTTTCCGTTAGAAAATTCAGTAGTTTCACGTCTTATTTCATTCTAATAGTGGCTTGATTCAGAATAAATACATGTACACATGCAGTTGATGTTCCTCGAAATTCTCATGTATCTAAAAGAATTTCGAAATTTATGGAATTATGAGGCTAGTGCACCTCCCCATTTAAGGTAGGATATTTTTAGATCAATTTTGGTTTTCTCAGTCGCCTAATAGAATTTCAAGATTTAAGCTCTTAGCATCACTGACGAGTCTAGAAGGATGAAATAGCTGTAGGATGTTTAATTACATGTATTTGACTGTACTGTATGTAATTCTAAATCTATGTTGGAAGATGTTATTCACTTGCGTGTATTTTGTATACCCATGTGGAGAACCATACACAATATTACAGTACCGGAATCATTTGATCCTCTTGTTATGAATTCAAGAAATACGATAAAAGTATATGGTTACGATGCATGAGAATACCATGAATGTAAAAGCCAAGATGAAATTTCTTATTAACGTTACCTTGGTGCTCTTAATTTTCGCGTGTCAATAGTTTCAACGAATGAAAATTTCATGATCTGGATGTAAAATAACATCCATGACACACTTGTCTCATTATTTCACTGATTAATGTACCGCAAAAAAATAATCGGTTAAACGTTACATTCGTGGGGATTGATGGTGACTTTCTTTCAACTCTTGGCTGATTTGTTTTTGTTTTTGCATGAAATTGGATTTAGGGAAGAGCTTATCAAACAAAAACAACAAATAATAACAAAACAAAAACAAAAACAAAAAAAAAAAAAAAAAAAAAACAAAAAAAAAAAAAAAAAAAAAAAAACAAAAAAAAAATAAAAAAAAAAAAAACAAAAACAAACAAAAAATATAAAAAATAGAAACAAAACAAACAAAAACTAAAAAACGTTTTCCATGTTGCCTGAATTTAAATAATCATTAACCTTTTCCATCGTGTATGCAAACCAGAATTAGATATAATGGATACAACAACGAAATCTCCACGTCAACCGATTGCCACATTCTTGACCTTCAACGCAAACTACTGTGACAGCTTTCAACTGACATTTCTGATAATCCTGATGATTATATTGCAAAAACTCTATTGACCTATGTTTTATATTATGGATTGTATTCAATAACCTGCCTACACCTTTCAATAAAAATTAAGATTTAGATACATAGTAACCAAATATTGCTTTATACAGATATTTCACCTATTAAAAATAGCAAGTTATGTTAAAGCTCTTTTGTTCATATTTGCCCTAGTTTTATCGAATTGGAGTTTGGATCATGGCATGGTTATGTTCATATACTGGTATTTGTTTATTGGTTTTTGAAGCCTAGGAGGTAACTGAGGAAAATTAAATTTGATCCGAAAAAAAATGTCAGGTTCTATTTAGATGATTGATGGGGAGGTGAACTAGTATTACAACTTGTATTTTTTTTTATATATCTGGTAAGTTCAAAAGATCGCCAAGTTGGTGATTATACTATATAGTATACTGAACCGTTTCACTAAAACAAAAACGTGGCATGCATCGTTCATTACCATAAACAGCAATAACATAATGTTAAAGAATAAGTCTTGAGATTCCGTTGCAATAAAACTGAGTCTCATTTGAGAACTTTCACCGTCTTTTAAGCGGAAGACGCTTAGCCTTCCAGAATACCTGGGATTCTTCATTATAATCAAAGTTTTCTCTTTTATTTGTATATATTTCAAGGGAGTAAGATTTTGTTAACATGTCGATATTTGTTTGGTTTTTGTTTCAGAAAATGTCCCGTGCTTCTTTTCCCAGAGATGGTTGCTGGCGTACATTGCCTTTCTGGGGTTTGTTTGTGTATACGCTGTCCGTGTGAACTTCAGCGTGGCCATTGTTTGTATGGTAAAATCTTCGGATGTCCCCACTAATGGGTCCGTGCTGGTTAACCAGTCAGATGTCGGTACATGTGTTGAGGCGGCTTCAAACGTCCGAAGTGATGAGGTAAGTTCCTGTAAGATTCAAATATTGGTTGATATTCTTATTAATTGTGAAATATAAATTGCAGACAATATAAGTCGCTGAAGCAGAAGATGTTATTCCATCTGGAAGACATGGTCTTAGCCTCCTTGCATTTTTTCAGGAGCCTTCGGACAAATATTTCTTTCGTTCATATTTGAGAAGGGACAAATTCCAAGTTAAATCTGTGACTTGATCTAAAAGTATTATAACTGAAAGTTATTGAAAGACGAAACAGGTGTATGATGCAGTTTGTTTTTTGGTTTGCCTCTATTAAACCTAATTTGTATATAAATTTGGTTTTCTCCTGTATGTTTTGCACAATGATTTCAAACATAATTTAGGACATGTAACTGTGCTATCGTTTTATTAGAAAAATATCATTCTCATGTACATCTATCTCATTCATTCTTGGTTAACAAACTTTAGATTTAGATCAGATTACAGAATAAATAATATGAAAACTCTATCATATCAAAAACAACACCGATTTGTTAACAGAGTCTTAGTTCAAATACCAATTCGATGAATATAAACCAACATAACAGACTCCTGAATTGTACAAGACAAATAGGACAATGTTTTCAGAAAGGGTAAGCGTTTTTTGCTTCATCGATGACATATGAGTTGTGAATATTGGTCGAAAAAACTAAGCCACGTTCCGCAATAAGAACAGGATAAAAAAAATCCAGACCGCCAAGCATACTTGCGAGCATCAAACACGCCCAACTTTATATCGTTAATAGAATATATTCTGAATAAAATCGTTATAACGACCGTAAAACTTTAAAATAAATTCATATTTATAAACTAAATTTGTGTTTTCTTTGGTAAGTCATTATATTTAGGTATGTTTCCACTCCTTTTATACAGCATGCTGAGTTTGACTGGGATAAGAACACACGTTCCACCATGCTGGCCTCCTTTTTCTACGGGTACATTTGTACTCAGATTTTTGGCGGCTGGCTTTCTGACAGGTTCGGCGGGAAGCGCGTGCTAGGGTATACAACACTTATTGCAGCCATTTGTACACTTCTCACACCAGTGTGCGCCCGTGCATCTACAACGCTCGTTTATGTCCTCCGTGTGATAATCGGCCTCGCGACAGTATGTATCACGTAAGAACCATTTTGAAATAGCAAAACGTTTGTAAACTTTTAAGTCTTTACCGAACGTTTATCAATGACTGAAATATTATCTCGTATATGTATCACTGACAAGTTAATACTCATATATGAAAGCACGTTCTAAATGGTTTTAACATTTACATCGGGCATGAAATCTTACAAAATGATATAAAGATGCATGTGTATTTTTCAGGGTGTAGCCTTTCCGGCCATGCAGTCAATTTGGGGTCGATGGGCGCCGCCTTTAGAACGCAGTAAACTCGTGTCTGTTTCTTATTTAGGTACTTAATTTTGTTTAATTCGTCTCTTTCGACCGTTTACATGGATTTACAAAATTACACTTCTTCATTTGATTAAACTCCAATTTATCAACTTTTTGATATTTCAGATACAACATTTATTGTTACTACTGACTGACAATGATGGTATTCCATAAAAGAACGGTGTTGTTGATTTTAGTTCATGCAACATTTAAATATTAGTTTTAATTCATCTAACAAGAATGAAAAGTAGCCGTATTTTATGGTGCGGCGTCCGTCCTAATAAACAAAAAGCCCAGAAATATAATATTAAGATAAAAGTCTTCTTATATGAATGCCGACAATGACTTTTCAAAAATGACTTTGACTTATGCTCAAATTCGCCGGGATAAAATTTGCTAAGCAAGCTTCAAATTTGGTAAAAAAAAAGATTCATACAATTTCCTTCAAATTTATCAAATGGTATAGAAGCATGATATTCCAGAGGTACAATAGGTTTCTAGGATGAAGCACAACAAATGTTGCAGGAGTCAAATTTGTAAAAATCTTCAAACAGCTTCTTCAAATGAACCAAACTCCTCAGAATCATGTTATATTTCCTGTTCAAAAACGAGACCGTATGTCTTCCCTTTCCTTGGAATCGTGATGGCGTCCTTCATCAAGAAAGAGCTTCACAACGGATTAATCGTGACATCTTTTCACTTAAAACAAAGATACAAAATAACTATGGGTCGTGAAGATCAGACGTGACGATGAACCATATTTCGATATAATTTTGCATATAACTATTGTTCACAAGTTTACTTGTGCCGGACACAAAAGTCTAATTTGATAAGAAGCAATAAACGCGTCAGTTATTTTATAGGGGTGTTATGTAAAGTGATAAAGATAAATTAAAAGCAATATCTCTTCAAGTTTCCGTGCAATTCTTGCTTCACAAATAACAATTGACAGGCATAACAGGGAATGGTAGGTTCCTAAGATAAAGCACATCTTTAGGGAAAAACTACCATCAACAATATTCAGGGTCAAATGGGTCGAATTGTTGAAACCATCTTGTAGCTTTTTAACCACAACAAGGAATATCAATGAAGTGAGAGGTAAATACATTGATTAAAGAATTCAAATACTAAGTAAGCGATGCAGGTCTATTTGGCCCCTTGTTTAAGAAAAGCTTTACCAAAAGAAAGAGAGAAAGACAAAAAGATAAATAAATAAAAAAAAACTTGTGTTAAAGGCTTTATTTTACTGAGAAAGTTTATTTGTTGTTGTTTACTCACAAAGGCACTATGTTTGGAAATATTGCAACCTTTGCCTCCTCCGGAATTCTGTGTGATTATGGATTTGACAACGGATGGGGGTCCATTTTCTACATAACTGGTAAGTCCTGATACATTGTATAAACCATATGTTTATTTATATGTATACACGGAATATTATCATAAAGTTTTATCAGTTCAACCTCGTCCCCGTATCATCATAAATGATAAATCCGTTCAAAATCTAAAAAAAATATATAAACTTGGAGATATATATATACAAGACAACTACAAATTATCCTTATTAACCTATAGGTGAGGCTATGCAAGGTCGGTATAGTGATAAAGAAGAATATGCATACCGAGACCAATGCATTATACGAACAGATATATCAGGACATAAACATCACGAAAAACATTTTTTGTTGATATAGAAGCGATATTTTATATCTAAAAATACATACAAAACAAAAAGAAAACAAAAACAAACAATAATGAAACAAAAGTTGCCCAAGGAAGACATGCGTAATGCATGAGCGTACATACAAAAGAAATTATTGTAAATACTACTTCGTTCACGTTAGATATTTTAACGATAATATAAATTTCTTTTCTAGATAATATTGTCAGTTGAATGAAAAAATAACTCACATCATCAAAGCAATTATGATATCGAAAGTCTTACATTATCACTACAGTGATATTGATACTACGCCCTGTTTCCTCTCCAATAGTTCTCAGATTCCAATAGCCGTTTTATGTAACACGAGTGATGCCAAATTGGCTGATGTCTACAACAGAAAATAGATGATGTCTAGCGCGTGCTTTCATGTAACGGTTATTCATTTCTTATCTATGTTATCTAGGTAAAGTTTTGTAAATAAGCAATCGCTATTCTTACAGGTGGTCTGACGTTTCTCTGGGTCCTGCTGTGGTTTTTTATGGTGACTGACTCGCCACAGGAACACAAACGGATTTCAGCTGCAGAACGAGAATACATTGTGTCTCATATCGAGTACAACACAACAGTCAGGGTAATGATGGACCCGTATCAAAGCTAAACTGTAAAAATTACTGGGTACAACACAACAGTCAGGGTAATGATGGACCCATATCAAAGTTACACTGTAAACATTATTGGGTACAACAGTGACGGGTAATGATACACACTGTCAAAGTTACACTGTAAACATTATTGGGTACAACACAACAGTCAGGGTAATGATGGACCCGTTACACTGTAAACATTACTGAGTACAACACAACAGTCAGGGTAATGATGGACCCGTATCAAAGTTACACTGTAAACATTACTGAGTACAACACAACAGTCAGGGTAATGATGGACCCGTTACACTGTAAACATTACTGAGTACAACACAACAGTCAGGGTAATGATGGACCCGTATCAAAGTTACACTGTAAACATTACTGAGTACAACACAACAGTCAGGGTAATGATGGACCCGTTACACTGTAAACATTACTGGGTACAACACAACAGTCAGGGTACAAACATTACTGAGTACAACACAACAGTCAGGGTAATGATGGACTGTAAACATTACTGGGTACAACACAACAGTCAGGGTAATGATGGACCCGTTACACTGTAAACATTACTGAGTACAACACAACAGTCAGGGTAATGATGGACCCGTTACACTGTAAACATTACTGAGTACAACACAACAGTCAGGGTAATGATGGACCCACTGTAAACATTACTGAGTACAACACAACAGTCAGGGTAATGTTACACACTGTAAACATTACTGAGTACAACACAACAGTCAGGGTAATGATGGACCCGTATCAAAGTTACACTGTAAACATTACTGAGTACAACACAACAGTCAGGGTAATGATGGACCCGTTACACTGTAAACATTACTGAGTACAACACAACAGTCAGGGTAATGATGGACCCGTATCAAATTTAAACTGTAAACATTACTGAGTACAACACAACAGTCAGGGTAATGATGGACCCGTATCAAAGTTACAATGTAAACATCACTAGGTAAAACACAACAGTCAGGGAAATGATGGACCCGTTACTGAGTTCAACATTAACACAAATGAACATTTTGTAAGTTAAAGCTTGTAATTTACCTGAAGTCACTTGAATATTGAAAACAAATCACATATATCCGTTGCATATGATTAATTAATTTTTTCATGTGACAAAAATCGTTTCTCTGCACCTGCATTTGAATGTTGACAGAAGAAATCGGTGCCATATCTTAATATCTTAAATAGTTCGGTTACCTTGACTTCCTGCAATAATTTTCTATTACACATGGTACAAATCATTGAAAAATAATCTATGTATTCTGCATTATGTGTAAAAAAATACCGACATGTCAACAAAATCTAAAAACGGTAAAACTATGTCAAATATGAACTAAAGAAAGATTTACACGGAGACCTCTGAAAATGTACAAGGAGAATAAGACTATTTGTACTGGCAGGGTAAGCATCTTCTACTTCATGGACAATACCCACCATGACATTATTGGTGAATCTAATTAAGTAATATAACGTCCTCAAGCAGAAGCATAATTAAGAACAATGAAACAACCGAGAATCAAACACGAGCAACTTCATACTGACCGTTTGTTAGAGTTAATTAGAGAGTGAAGGAAATCTTCTTTACAAAACGCTATGATTATGCAAAAAATGCAAGATCTCATCATAGTTTATATAACTCCACTCATCTTTTCACAGTCAGTAAAATTGAATGTTAGATTAAAAAAAAGTTTCATTTCATATCACATGTATCTACAAAGAAAGCAAAAAAAAATAAAATCCTTTCGAAACAGAAGAATATACACGATTTTGTTTTTGTTTTTGTTTTTTTTTTTTCATTTGACAATTCTTGCCTTGCAGACGGCCAAAGTGCCTTTCAGGGATATTGCAAAGTCGCGTGCATTGTGGGCATGTCTTACAGCTCACGTGTGCAATAACTGGACCAATTACACTCTTCTTACTAGCCTCCCGGCATTTATGAAAGCAGTTCTGAAATTTGACATCAAACAAGTAAGTCATTAAGGAAAATTAAACATACTTTATATATAAATGTCTCAACAACCAAATAGTTTTATTGTCAAGGTTCATTACGACTACATATTTACAGAAACGTTGAATTCATCAGGGGCAAATTCACATCTGACAGTAGCTGTAATAAATATAACAGCTCTAAGATTGTATAATATGTACACTAGTGAATACTTCCCTTCAAAACAAATTTAGAAGTAGTAAACTGCAGCATACAGTTGTTTCGTCCATTTAGGATTTTCATTTATGATAAGGATCAATACTGTTGAAACATCAAATTTGGTAGAAGGTAATGACAACACAATTAGTGTACAAGTCTAGGGCATTTTAACTGATATTTTACTGTTCAACTACTCCACAGTTAGTGCTACTTGTCTGTACATTCTCCTTTATGAGCGTTACCTCACGTCACGCCTCGTGTTTAAGCAGCATCTCTACATCAGTTAACTTTAAGGACATTTGAATCTATCAAGAAAACCCAAACAAACAAAGCAAATACAATCAAATACCAAATGTCAACAGAATTTTCATTTAAATTCTAATTCGATGAAACTAGGGCAAAAGATATAAACAAAAAAGAAAACTTTTATTGAGACGGACAATAAGAATAAGACCAGGTGTTCCAGAAGAGTAAGCCCCAAATGTTCATTTAGATGCTATGAAAGTATTCGATAAAACAACTTATATGTAAACGTTATTAGAACCAGTCACTTTTTAATGTTTCAGAGATACCATGTTTTGTAGTTTAAAAGTATTATCCATTACATAGGATTTCGCAGTTATCTGAACTCAATATTAAATAAAGCTTTCTATCATTATAATGATTATCCACATAAAAATCTAACGCTGGTGATTCACTGACATCTATCATAACAGAACGGACTGCTGTCCGCAGTTCCTTACCTATGTCAAGCTGTGTCCGGGTTCCTGGCCGGACAATCCGCTGACATTCTTAGGTCTCGGAAAATCCTCTCCACAACAGCCACGAGACGAACGTACCAGGTAATAGGTAAGCAGCCTATGGTTAACAGAAATAGGAAGAAAAAAATATACAACACAACAACACGGTATACTATGTACAGTCACATCTTCATCATTTTCGTTGATTTAATGCTTTTCGTGAGGTTCAACCTTTACGTTACGATACTATCAACATGGTTTTATCCACTGGGATTAAATTCGTGATTTCAATAGGCAAACTAGATGCAATGGTTATTTTCGTGGTCAATGAATGTTTGCATATCTGACTGAATCCGCTGAACACTTATATTAGTTGTAAGTTGATAATGTTCGTCCAGAACTTGACATGTACGAATATGGGACAAAATTATTGATATGGTTTCAGAGTCTACCGAAACTATCTGAATTTATATTTGTTTTATTTAATTGTAAACGACGCATTTATTGTCAATACTGCGTCTATGTTTCTCTGAAAACTATTATTTATCTGTGTATATCTGCAACAACTGCCTCATCTGTATCCATGCCCCTGTAATTAATACGTGTCTGCTGATTACCTGTCCTTGATTATCATTGTTAGTACCAATTTAAGGTATATTCATTTTAATTCAATCTAACTTAATATCACAATTATAGTACACGTGTAAACTGATGACTAACATAAACGCCATATGTAGAAAATTTTTAGCCAAAGAATACTTAATCAATGCTTGCAGTTTAATTTTTGTTTTTTTAAACTTACAGCATTTATAGGAGCAGGTGTGTTTTCTGTTGCTACTGGTTTCGCTACATGTGAGAAACGGGACATGGCTGTTATCTTTCTGTCTATAGCCGTCATGTTTACCGGACTTTCCAGGGCAGCATACGTCGTTAACCATGTGGATTTTGCACCTATGTAAGTACTTAAAACAAGCCGAGATAAAGCCATTCAGCTTTCTGTCCATCACAGCGTACATTGTAAATATGTAGATTCTGTACTTAAGGACTGCACAAAAGACACAGGAGAACAGCTCCCCGTGAAATATAAGTTAGAATTAGACATTAATCACAGACGAAGCATAAAACGACCTGCAGCAAAATTTTATTTCGTCATCACAAATCTGGTTTATGGCATTTAATTTGACCACTTCGAATTTCCCTCATAGGTCTTCTATACTTCAACAATTCAAACCTTTAGCATCAGTCGTCGGTGTTTCAGGGGGAGCTGAATTGTTAACACAAACGTATTTGTTAGTATGAGGCGGTTACCAATAGAAGTTAAACTATAATAGGGTTTATTTTAACTTATAGATATTTTAAAAAGATTGTACACAAGTAAATAACACCTTCCAATTCAAATTTAGAGTTAGATACAGTAGAGTTAAAGCATGGATTAACCTGCGTCATACTATTGTTTATTCTTTCTATGATTCGTCAGTGATGCTAAGGGCCTAAAATTTTTTAACTTGGTGACTGAGGGTCCCTGATGAACATCTAAAGTAATCGAATGAAGTGTCAAAATTCAGACGGGGGGATGCACTAGACCCATAATTTCTGGTAATTTTAGAAGCACATCAAGTACATGTGTATATTGAGAACCATGCCACTATTTGAATATATTAAAACGTGTCACGTAATTTATAAATTGAGTGATATTATTCATTACAGGTACGCAGGTGTACTCTATGGAATAACGAACACTGCAGCCACTGTACCTGGAATGGTTGCCCCGATCGTGGCAGGCGCGCTCACACCAAACGTAAATATAGCGTTCTTATTATTTAGTTCTCAATGTTGTAACGTTTTCTTTAACACATCAATCTTATTGCCCAATATACTATATTGTAGAAATTTGACCATAATTCATTAATCGAATTTCCGATTTTTTCTTTTTCAAAAATAGAAACTGGTTATTGTTTACTTAGTGGTTAGATTTTCCGGAAACATATCATATTTTCCGATCTGTAATGTTCTACAAAATAAAAAAGATACATTCACATTGGACTTTTTATAGGAAGACATGTCGAAAAAAAAATATCGAGAAATAAGTACCAGCCCTGGTGTAGAAACTGTTCACATTTGGTGCGGAATGGCTTAATAGTGTATCTAGTGACAAAGCAGGATCAATAACAAGCCTACCGTCCACAACACACAATATTCGAGAAAGTGTTTTGACTTTAACGACACTATAAAAGTAAAGCGGTTTTCATTCATTTTATTTTATATTTTTAACAAAGCTAAGGTCATTCACCAGTGCAATATCAAATGTTAGAATATTATAGCCATTATTATAAAAAGACTAGTATTTATCAACGACTTCGAAGTTTCAATGCATTGTATATCTATATATCTAAGTCGTCTAATTATACCAACAGGACACCCCGGAGGAATGGAGGAACGTCTTCTACGTCTGTGCCGCCTTTGATTTGTTTGGCGCTTTGGTCTTTGGGATGTTTGGTGTTGGTGAACTTGAACCTTGGGCTCGCGATCTAATAGTCGACAAAGAAATTGACGCTGTAATCATCACCAATATCGATGTGGAAATGGCACATGACACAGACAATGTTAAAACTATTGCTGATAAGAATGAAGCCGAGACTGAAGACCTAGAAGATAAGGACGAACTGAATGGTAAGAGCGACGCATTGGAGCAAAAGGGAGACAATTCTATGACAGAGACTAACCCTGGTTCTGTAGTAGAAACAGATACATCACAAAATCAAATTAACGGAATGGTCGACACACTGACCGACCAAGAGGATTTAAACGATGATTCTTTGAGTGAAAACCAAGGTAAAAGTGATCCATCAAATACATTATATCCGGAGCAGACTTTATCTGAAATCGTATTGTGTGGAACCACTGTAGGTTTAGATAGTTTGATTGAAGAAGAATCGAAACAGATTAAAGCATGAGTGGCATAACTGGTCGGTCTTCAGCGCTGATGACTTTATATATGTATACGGATGTTTGTTGATGTCTGATATAGATTGAAATATTTATTCTCGAAAATAAACAATATTTATCATATCTTTATTTTCAGTTTTAAACACCAATTTGGTGTTGTTTACAGATTGTACTAAAACATACTAGTGAATAGCATCTTTCGATACAAATTCAGAATAAGATACAATAAAACTTAACAATGCAGTAAACTGCATCACACAGTTGTTTCGTCCTTCTAGGACTCATCAGAGATGTTACATCACACAGTTGTTTCGTCCTTCTAGGACTCATCAGAGATGTTACATCACACAGTTGTTTCGTCCTTCTAGGACTCATCAGAGATGTTACATCACACAGTTGTTTCGTCCTTCTAGGACTCATCAGAGATGTTACATCACACAGTTGTTTCGTCCTTCTAGGACTCATCAGAGATGTTACATCATACAGTTGTTTCGTCCTTCTAGTACTCGTCACTGATGCTAGATCACACAGCTGTTTCCTCCTAAGACTCGTCAGAGATGTTACATCACACAGTTGTTTCGTCTTTCTAGGACTCATCAGAGATGTTACATCACACAGTTGTTTCATCCTTCTAGTACTCGTCAGTGATGCTAAATCAAACAGCTGTTTCGTCCTAAGACTCGTCAGAGATGTTACATCACACAGCTGTTTCGTTCTAGGACTCTTCAGAGGTGCTACATCATACAGCTGTTTCGTCCTTTTAGGACTCGTCAGGAATGCTACATCATACAGCTGTTTCGTCCTTTTAGGACTCGTCAGGGATGTTACATCACACAGCTGTTTCGTTCTAGGACTCTTCAGAGGTGCTACATCATACAGCTGTTTCGTCCTTTTAGGACTCGTCAGGGATGTTACATCACACAGCTGTTTCGTTCTAGGACTCTTCAGAGGTGCTACATCATAAAGCTGTTTCGTCCTTTTAGGACTCGTCAGGGATGCTACATCACACGGCTGTTTCGTCCTGTTAGGACTCGTCAGAGGTGCTACATCATAAAGCTGTTTCATCCTTTTAGGACTCATCAGGGATGCTACATCATAAAACTGTTTCGTCCTTTTAGGACTCGTCAGTGATGCTACATCACATAGATGTTACGTCCTTTTAGGACTCGTCAGAGGTTCTACATCATACAGCTGTTTCGTCCTTTTAGGACTCGTCAGGGATGTTACATCACACAGCTGTTTCGTCCTCGGACTCGTCAGGGATGCTACATCACACAGCTGTTTCGTCCTTCTAGGACTCATCAGTGGTGCTACGTCATACAGCTGTTTAGTCCTTCTAGGACTCGTCAGTGATTCTACATCATACAGTTGTTTCGTCCTTCTAGTACTCGTCAGAGGTGCTACATCATAAAGCTGTTTCGTCCTTCTAGGACTCATCAGTGGAGCTACGTCATACAGCTGTTTCGTCCTTTTAGGACTCGTCAGTGATGCTACATCATATAGCTGCTTTGTCCTTCTAGGACTCATCAGAGATGCTACATCATACAGCTGTTTCGTCCTTCTAGGATTCGTTTGTGATGCTACATCATACAGCTGTTTAGTCCTTCTAGGGCTCGACAGTGATGCTACATCATATAGCTGCTTTGTCCTTCTAGGACTCATCAGAGATGCTACATCATACAGCTGTTTCGTCCTTTTAGGACTCGTCAGAGGTGCTACATCATACAGCTGTTTCGTCCTTCTAGGACTCGTCAGTGATTCTACATCATACAGCTGTTTCGTCCTTCTAGGATTCGTCAGTGATTCTACATCATACAGCTGTTTCGTCCTTCTAGGACTCGTCAGTGATTCTACATCATACAGCTGTTTCGTCCTTCTAGGACTCGTCAGCGATACTACATCATACAGCTGTTTAGTCCTTCTAGGACTCGTCAGTGATTCTACATCATACAGCTGTTTCGTCCTTCTAGTACTCGTCAGAGGTGCTACATCATAAAGCTGTTTCGTCCTTTTAGGACTCGTCAGGGATGCTACATCATAAAGCTGTTTCGTCCTTTTAGGACTCGTCAGGGATGCTACATCACACAGCTGTTTCGTCCTTTTAGGATTCTTAAGAGATTCTACATCATACAGTTGTTTCGCCTTTCTAGGGTTCGTCAGTGATACCTAGAGGCGATTCAAGGAAATCAAAATTAATTGAAGGAAAAGTCGAAATCTAGATAGAGAATTATCCCCAATATGTTTAATATAATGTGTAAGTTACAGATAGACAAACATCATACAGATTTTTATCCCTTAAGAATCGTTACGGACAGTGATACACAGGGTTTTAAGTTTTAAAATCTAGAAGGGACTCAAGAATTGGTCTATCATTATGTAAATATATGTATGGCGAGATACAGAGATGAATCAAACGCTGTTATTCTACGCTTATAGAAATTCAACATTGAACGATTAATGAACAGCAATGGCATACATAACAAAAGGAGCATGTAATAGTGACGCACTGTACTTCACCACACCAGTAGAGTGGCTTAGAAGGTTTTTTTCATAGGAGGCTAAATTTGTATAACAGCTTACCAGAACAGCTCACTAAGACATTGCTTAGTCCTTCCGCTTCACTTTTCGATGTATTGATGATGTTTAGTTTTATTTCATTACAAAAACATTATTGACCGTGTTCGTCATACCAACCGGCCTTGGAAATCAACGACACGAAAGACTCATTAAAGATATAGTCGATGTTTTCCGACAGGAAACCAACAAGGACAACTATCCCCCAAGGTGTACGATAATCATGATGATTCCGATTGCCCTGTGGTGAATTTTCCATACAAACAACTACAGCAGCATAACCATTTTCCCGACCTACGGCATGTACCGATCGCTGTTAATTAGCTGTTCAAGGGCTTATTCCAGTATCACGATATCCCTGAAAGATTTCAACAGCTGACAGACAATCTCACGATACGGAGGTTCCAAGAGTTGCAGGTCGATGGGAGTGCCTCGCCATCATCTCCATATTATCATTATCATTCCTTTGTTCTAAATGATATATGATAAGTTCTATGTTCGCTAGTAAGACTCTTTGTTGGTTTCGTTTTGTTAACCATTTAAGAACATATTACATTTACTTGTATTGACGAATATTTACGGATGTCGGTTGATGAAGACGCTTACCCTTCCCGTGCATTTTACCTAAATCCCAGTTATCCCTATCACCCCGAGGTGGTCTTCCTACAAATATTCATGTTCCGCCATTGTTTCATTCATTTTTAGTTTTAAAAACAACAAGAATATACCAACATGTCAACATGATCATAATCCAAGCTCAAATTCAGTCAAACGACCGCAAAATATGAACAAAAGAAAGACTTACACAGAGACTCAAGAAAAAGGGCAAAGAAGAATAAGATCATGTGTTCCGGAAGAGTAAGTGTCTTTAGTATCTTTGACAACACCTGCCATCTTCATCAATCAAAGTTAGTAATGTGACGTTCTCAAATGAGCAACAACGGAACCAATAGGCAAACTAACTAGAATCAAATACGTCCACATTCATATCGCAAAAAGAAATAGAATATTTCTCAATGAGATCACTATGACTACCTTAAAACTTCTCCATAATTTTCATCAACCTGCATTATTTAAACCCTGTGTTATAAGCTTGTTCGTCAGTTGACGGCTTTTTGCATGAAAATTGTGATATTGGGCATTTGAATATCGTATCAACTGCGATATGTAGACACCAAAGGTTGGGGAAACAGGGATTGTTGCCATCCAGAAATGGAAATTTTACAATAGGGAAATTGAAATCATCACGTTTATCATACAACTTGATAGAAAGCTGTTCATGTTGGTGTCGTTGTAGGAGAAGATCGAGATGACCAGCTGAAGTTCTAGAGTTTGTCCTTGATATCCAATTCTAGTGGGTATATACGGTGGACATGTTCAATAAATGTCATGTTATTTAAAGTCAAGACATCATCAATATATCTGAAAGTCAAACTGAACGACCTTACAAAGGATTTGAGACTTGTTTTGATAAGCTCATCAATAAATTCAGCCTCATATGAAAACAAGTCAGTCAACAAAGGGGCACAGTTAGTTTCCTAAGGTATGGCAATAGTCTGTTGGAAAATCATACCAACAAACTCGACGAAGATGCTTTCAACCTTAAATTCGATCATTTTAAATGATTTCGTCCTCCATAGATTTTTCACGAAATACGCTTCAGTAAAATTCACAATCATACATTTGTGCCGTCATTCATCTTTCTTTGGATAGAAAATAGAAAACAAGTGAACGAAGGCTTTCTTTCAATTTAGAATGGGGTATAGTGGTGTACAGAGTGGAAAAAGCAAAGGTTTTTATTAAAAAAATTGTTTAGAAGAGGGTGTTGAAGATTAGTCAAATGCTCTTTGGGGATTTTTTTCAAATCTACATACTATTAAATTCTTGAGTTAACAGTATCACAACAAGACTGTAACGCAGAGCTGACTGTATTAAGAATAGTAAAAAGTTTTGACAGATGTTTGATTGAACAGCTAGACAGGTCAGCAATACAATGTTTTTTGTATGGTTTTGGCCATCCATAAGAATTGCTATAGAACCAGCAACTTCAAGCACACACATAATGAAACGGAATACTTCCAGCGCTCAAATAAGATTACTGCTTACTATGTATGTTTATAGTATTAAACACTTGGATCAGATCTCCTTTTAGTCTACTATATCCTTCAATATCGGTAATTTAAGCATCTTTGGCCTGTCTTCATTCCTGGTATTTTATTCTGTTGGGTCTTTTTTCGTTATTCTTATTTTCTTGCTCAGACTTCAATATTTAAGTCACTGAAGTTTCTCTGACTGATCGTAGTTCATTGTTTCATTTTTCAGAAGAAAACATGTACACATACAACTTATATAGGTGTCAAAAAACTTGTGAATGACAATATTTGAATGCATGCATTTTGTAATAAAAAGTGTCAACTGCAAATCAACTAATGAG